TCATTGTTGTATTTTTACCAACTTTAAATCATGTTCGAAGATGGGCCTGATCGGCCGTCTACTTCTGGTACCTCCGCCACAATGGGCCAAATTTTTTAATTCAATAACAAACGAATTGAATATTCAATTTCATCGAAACTTTAAACATCGTAAAATGTTTAACTTAACTAGATTATGTCCGAAGATGGACACGATCGGTTCACACCTTCTAGTACCTCGTGTCAAAATTTTGAAAATTTATCAAAGGAATGGAATGTCCAATTTAATACAAACTTTGCACATCATAATATTAGTTAGGGGAAAAAGAAATCCATTAGCCCGGTCGTCGATAAAACCCAAGAAATGATCGAATTTGACCGGAGGAGCTAAAAATTGGCCATAAAACTGTTTTAAACCATTTACACAAAACTTGATTCAAAAGGAAGCTCGATGATTTGGTGTCACACCAATTAACAGAAAATATAGGATGGATCGAATTACCGTTTGCGAATGAGATAGACCCATTTCTTAAACGGAGGGTGACTGGAGATAAAAAATGGATCAAAAACCACCAGGACAACGCTAGGCCACACACAGCTACAGTGACTCGCTAAAAACTTTGGGAGCTTGGTTGGGATGTTTTAATGCATTCGCCACGTATTTATTTTAAATATCCACATTGATGACCTTAAAAAAATATGTCTTCAAACATTCCAAACGTTCATGGATTTTTACGAAATATTCTGTATTAATATTTATTTAAAAAAATTCTCAACGAAATCTACGCCACTGCTGATTGTTTGTAAGCTATGTATATTTTTCCATCAACTGTTTTAAACACAAACAAGACATCCTTCAAAGCTAATAGTTCTGGTCTTCTTCTATCAAAAATAATACATTTTTATTTGATCTACCAAAGGAAGGTCATCGTATTGAAAAACTTCATCTGATGTTATATTACTTACAAAAAGGGCCTGCTTAAATACGAACGATTTCCAGGTGTTCTTCTTCAGTATTGATATAAGAGCTTCTGGTTTTTTTATTTTATTTTGAAAATATTCCCCACTTTTTTAATAAATTATTATAATTAAATGAACAAAATAAATAAATACAATATGTTTTTATTTTTTATCTATAACATAATTAAAACTTTATTTCGATTGTTTAACATAATCAGTTTAATATGTGGTTGTGAGAATTGTATTTCTTTGTTTGTTATAATGTAACTCAATACCATTCCATTCATTTTCATTTCATTACTCTACTATGTACTTTAATCAGTTGGGTTTGCATATTTATTATTGTTATAATTTCTTTTTTATATTATATGTATAATATATAGGTAATATGTGTATTTATATGTAACTATATGCAGAGTGTGTGAGTGTTAAGGGGTTGGTTGGTTATTATCATCATCATAGGTAGTACACAACATTTTTTTCCATTATTATTATTAATATTATGCTCAACTGTTTAATGGTATATTTACAAAACATATATTATTTTTATTAAACATATATATAAAAAAGAGAAAATAATATATAAATTATTACAATTTAAAACAAAAGAAATAATTATTATTAATTTTTTGTATTATATATAAAACAAATAAAATAATTTTTTAAATAATTATTTTTATTTTTTTTGCATTATTATAATTTTTTTTAATAATATAAAACAAAATTTATTTAATTTTTTTTCTGGAATGCTTAACAAAAAATTGTTGTAATTTTTTTAAATAAATATTATTTATTTTACGTATATATAATTCGATTTAAAGAAAACTAATATTGTCTAAATAAAAAACACAATTATTTTTAAAAAATAATCAAACGAGAATTTTTTTGAAATACACATAAAATATAATGACACATTGTAAAAAAATGAAAGAAATTTAATAACTAATTAAAAAATAAGTCATATTTATTTAAATAACAAATTAAATTTTGTATAAAATTATTTTTTTTATTTTATAAAAATTAAAAAAAAAACATGCGTATAAAAAACCAAATATGGACGTTTTTGCTGGAACATAAATTTGCTGGTATGTATTTTTAATTTTCTAAACAATGGACAACTATTATTTTTTTATTATTTTTTAGTTATACATGAATTGTTTTTTTAATTTATTGTTGTATATTTCTTTATTTCATTTCATTTTTTTTTGTATGTATATATTTATAGCGTTATTTATTTTATTTCTACATATGTACGAGCATGTATATCCTCTAATACATAAGTAAAGCGACTTTTTTGTGAGGTTTTTTTTATTTATTTTAAATTACTTCTTTGTAATTTAGCTTTCTGGATTGATTATTGAACTAAAATTAAAAAAAAAATGCTTTAATGATTTCTTTTCCTGAAAAGCCTCAAGAAATATGCTTTGTAAAATACAAAAGGGATAGATATACCAAGACACCAAGACAGAATACCAAAGGAATTCAAGACAAGCTCTATTGAGTGGACCTTCTCGTATTTTCTCCTACTGAATAAAGACTGTTTGTATCCGATATAAATTTGTTAAAAATAAACTTTTTTTTAATAAATTCTTTTAAAATGAGACCATTATGCATTCATTCTTCAATACACGTCCTCCTGATATTCTTCTATCAAAAATAACACATTTTTATTTGATCTACCAGAGAAGGTCGTTATCACATCACAAACCACATTTGAATAAAGAAGGGTCCTTATTCTCCTTTATAAAAACCGAAGATTGCTTATTCTCTTGTAAAATAGAAGGCATCTACTTCCTCAAAAAAATATTCCTTTTTCTCCTATTTACTTCTTCCCATAGAATAGAAAACATTTTCTACTTCCTATCCATAGAAGGATACCCCAGGATTATTAGAAGATTTATAAAAACCGAAGATTGCTTATTCTCTTGTAGAATAGAAGGCATCTACTTCCTCAAAAAAAAATATTCCTTTTTCTCCCATTTACTTCTTCCCATAGAATAGAAAACATTTTCTACTTCCTATCCATAGAATGATACCCCAGGATTATTAGAAGATCTTCTATGGGTATCTTTCTATGGAATATAAGAAGATCCCTTTTTCTTCATCCCATGGAATGAGGCCTTCTTTTCCCTTCTTCTTACCCAATAGTACAGAAAAATTTTCCTACTTCTTCCATATATTAGAACAACAACATCTCACCTTCTTCTTAAGACTTTTGAAGACCCTAAAATCTGAGCATATTTTCTGCGACTTTTCATTTAAACTCTATTATTAATTACTAAAGGATTTTTTAAGGGGGTACATAAAATATTTAAAGCATTTGAATATTTGTCTGTATTATACATTTATAGCACATTGATTACAAAAACAAATCTAAAATTTTACAAATACAACTCTTCTTTTTAATTTTCTTCTTTACAAAAAAATAGAAAACATGGATACATAAAGGGGCATGACTATGTAATTAGAAGAAGCAAAAGATGACGAGGGGTTTGAAGCCATGTCTTGTTTAAATCGAGTTCCAATTGGAGTTAAGACGAAAAAACATTGCATATTTTAAGGCGCAGGAAAGAAAGATTTGGTTTAAAGGGTTATAATTTTCGGTAATCAATATTGCAGCTGTTTAGCAGGATACTGCATTTTCGAGAAAAAATACATCTCTCTCAAGAATATCTCAGCTATGTGATGGAAACCAATTTTAGTTTCTAGAAAATAAATACTTTGAATTTTAAAATATTTTTTTGAACATTCATCAAAAACGTGAATTAAAAAAACATGTATTTATTTAAAATTCCACAAAGTCGTTTTTGCGAACATCCAAAAATGTTTTTCAAACTCTGTGTTGGATTACACAAGTGTAAATTAAAAAAAATCAATAATCTTTGACTCAGTAGTGGAATTTAAAAAATATATTTTTTTACAATACACAAGCGCAAATTTTAAAAAATATTTTTTTTTCAATAACTATATAGGTTTCGAATATATATAATTATTGAAAAATATTTTTTTAAATTCGCGCATGTGTAAACATTTCTATAATCCAACCAGAGTTGAATGTTTGAAAAACATTTTTGAATGTTCTCAAAAATGACTTTGTGGAATTTAAAAAAAAACATGTTTTTTAGAGTGATTTAATTTCGATCACATTTCTGAATATTTATGCAAAAAGGTGGAGAAGACATTAAGCTCGCAAAGGGACTCCAAATAGCCTAGAATTCGTGAGGGTATTTTTTAAAGATATTTAGAATTGTTTTTTTTTTACATTAAAAAGAAAGCATGCTGTTTCAGGTTATTGTTAGTAGTTTTTTGTTATATAAATATTTTCAAAATTCTATCATTTGTTTTTTTTTTGTATTTATATTTGTTTTATTCATTTGTTTTTTTATATATGTATTTAGTTATGTATGGTTCTTATCATTTTTTTCTGTTTTTGTAGGTAACATTAAAAAGAAAGCATGTTTTTTGTTTTTTTTCTTGTATATATAAATATATATATAATATTAAATATAAACTAATAAATAATAGGTATTTAATAGTATTTTTTATATATATATGTTTCAACTTGTTGGGTTTTATGATTTGTGGTAATAGTGTGTGTATATATATAATATTTAAATATAAATATAATTTGTTTTTGTTTTATCATCATCTAAAGTTGGGTTTAATTCTTAATCATCATCATTGTTATCATGAATTATTTGTTGTGGTTGTTGTATTCCATAATCGTTATAATTAAATATAAATTTTTGTCTTGTTTTGTTTTAACATAATAATTAAATTTTGTTTTTCTTTTTTTTTAATAGATTTTTTTTCAACTCTTTTTCTTTTGAGGAGAAGGAGGGGGCGAAAAAGAGTCTTAGGAGTGTGTATGTATGTACTTCTCTCTTGTGTTTCATTTTTTTTGTTTCTTTTTGTGGTATATTTTGTTTAACAATTATTTTGTTGTTGTATATTTATATAATAATTTCTTGTTTTTGTTTTTCAACTACATTTTTTATATAGATTTTTTGTTTTTAAATATATAATAATTTTTTTATTAATATTATTGTTTTAGTTTTGCTGTGGTTTTGTTGTTGTTGTGGTAATTTATAACGCTCCAAAAGGATCTAAGGGTACGCTTTTATTGCCGCCATTTGTCTGCATCATCGTCTGCATGACGGGCTGCTGTTGCTGTGTTGCCTGCATCAGACCAGCTGGATTACTTGGCATCATCATGGGCGCTGCTGTCATCGTCGGTGGTACGCCAGTCAAAGGGGCTTGGCCCATCATAGGTTGTCCCATCACCGGCATCCCCTGCTGCAATATTTCCGATACGAAAACGAAAATAAAACAAAAAAGAAGAGAAAAAGAACAAAACACCATGACCATTATGGAGGTCAAAGTGGGTGTGGTTTAGTTAGTAAAAATTATTAATTATTAAAAAAAAATTGTAGGAATTATTATGTAAATTGTTTTTTTTTTACTTGGACGCAATCAAAACTTATCATGCATATAGCAAGTCACAATACATTCTATGTAAGTTGGGGGGTTTCTATTTTTCTAGTGTGTTTCTACGTTACTATTGTTGTTGTATATATTGTAGGTATATAAATATATTGCTAGCTAAATATATATCTAAGACCTCTAGATATTCATATATAAATATTGGTTCTAATATTTATTAATTGTTACTAAGTTATTCAAAAATTTTTTGTAATAAATTAAAATAGGACCAATAGGAAATATTTTGAAAATTATAAAAAAAATATTTTTAAATATATTTTTTAAAGAATAATACTTTCGAGGCCTTACAAAGGCGTGGATTTTTCAAAGAATAATCTTTTCGAGGCCTTACAAAGGCGTGGATTTTTAAAAGATTAATCTTTTCGAGGCCTTACAAAGGCGTGGATTTTTAAAAGAATAATCTTTTCGAGGCCTTACAAAGGCGTGGATTTTTAAAAGAATAATCTTTTCGAGGCCTTACAAAGGCGTGGATTTTTAAAAGAATAATCTTTTCGAGGCCTTACAAAGGCGTGGACTTATAAAAGAATAATCTTTTCGAGGCCTTTCAAACGCGTGGATTTTTAAAAGAATAATCTTTTCGAGGCCTTACAAAGGCGTGGACTTATAAAAGAATAATCTTTTCGAGGCCTCACAAAGGCGTGGACTTTTAAAAGAATAATCTTTTCGAGGCCTTACAAAGGTGTGGACTTTTAAAAGAATAATATTTTCGAGGCCTTACAAAGGCGTGGACTTTTAAAAGAATAATATTTTTGAGGCCTTACAAAGGCGTGGACTTTTAAAATAATAATCTTTTCGAGGCCTTACAAAGGTGTGGATTTTTAAAAGAATAATCTTTTCGAGGCCTTACAAAGGCGTGGATTTTTAAAAGAATAATCTTTTCGAGGCCTTACAAAGGCGTGGACTTTTAAAATAATAATCTTTTCGAGGCCTTACAAAGGTGTGGATTTTTAAAAGAATAATCTTTTCGAGGCCTTACAAAGGCGTGGACTTTTAAAAGAATAATTTTTTCGAGGCCTTACAAAGGCGTGGATTTTTAAAAGAATAATCTTTTCGAGGCCTTACAAAGGCGTGGATTTTTAAAAGAATAATCTTTTCGAGGCCTTACAAAGGCGTGGATTTTTAAAAGAATAATTTTTTCGAGGCCTTACAAAGGCGTGGATTTTTAAAAGAATAATCTTTTCGAGGCCTTAAAAATGCGTGGATTTTTAAAAGAATGAAAAATTATTAAAAGAATCCATTCTTCAGATATGACTTAAAAATGTATTTTTTTTAAATCCACGCCTTTGTAAGGTCTTTGCGTCTATACAATTTCTCATTTTTTCCTATTGGTCTTTCAATACAAAAAATAATGAAAATCAAGTTGTACAGTTCTACAAATTAAATGTATAAATATTTTAGCATACAACAAACAGTTTGTCAAGAAATTATTTTCATAAATGTATTTAATACAAAAAAAAGAATATTTAAAAATAAAATTGTAGAACAATTTTAAAGTTTTTTAATGTTCAATATTTAATAGGTTTTTAAATATTTATATTTCCTTGACACCCTGCATGTGTACCATATATATGTAGAAATAACTACTTGTGTATATGTGTGTGTAATAATTGCATTTTTTTCATATAAAATAGATCGATCTGAAAGAGTACAGCGTGTATTGTTGTATAGCTTAAGGCATGACTGACTGATTGACTAGAAGAAGTAGAGTGTTTTTGGAGGAAGAGGGGGAAATGTGGGATAGTAAGGAAAATATGCATTGCATTTGTATTGAAATTAAAATCAGAAACAAAAATAGATATTTCCTTAAGAGAAATATATATATATATGAATTGATATGTAAATTAGAAGAAGATAGAAACATTTTTGCAAATTTTCTCATGTTAGTGATTATGATGAAGTTGATTATTTGAAAGAAAAAAAAGAGGGATACAAAAAATAACAAGGCAAATTAAAAATTAAATAATGCTATTAACAAACAAAAAATAAAATAAAAAATTAATAATTAACGTAAAAATTAAATATTAACCAAAAATTAATAATTAACAAAAATTTTAATAATTAACAAAAAAATATTAAATTACATAAAAAACTTAAAAAATATCTTTTAATTTACATAACTCTTATTATTTATTATTAACTTTAACGAAAAAAAATGAAACAAAAAATCAACTTAAATAAAATTAAAAATTAAATCTTACCTGCATATAATTTGGTATTACAGGATAATTAGCATGTATATACGGATGATTAATTGTGATTGGCGCAGGACTTACAGTCATGCCATGTGCCTAATACAATTATTACAATATAATATTATATTATCATATATTATTTGTTTAAGAGACGACATTTGATTTTAAAATAATTATAATTAGAATTTAAAATTAGTTAACAAAAATAAAAAATTAAAATATATTGTCAATATTTTGGTTGTGTTATTGTCATTATTTTTAATATACATAAAATAATTGTTTGTTATATTAAAAAAACAACATTTGTGTGTATTTATACAAAAAAAAAATAATACAATTTGTTTTTTTAATTTAAATTTTTTCACACATATTTTTCAAGTTAAGGGTGGTAGTTGGGAGGGAGATCAGATGTAACAACGATTTTGAACAATCGTTTATTATTTTTGTTCGTTAATTTACAACAACGCATTTCATGGGCAACATTGAACAACGAACATTCGTTTAGGATTCATTCAAACAACATTTTTCATTGAATGATTAGTGGTTGGTCGGTTGTTTGGTTGGTTGGTTGCAGGATGACGTTGTTTAGACATGTTGATTGATAATAATGACGACCACGATGATGACACACAACACAATGGCGTGGTTGTAAAGAGGGGGTATAGGTAGGCAATGTTTGATTTGATTTGGTTGGAGGGTCAGGTTGTGAGCGGATTACAGTTGTGAGGAGTTGTTGGTGGTTTAGGCACAGATAGTAGTAGTTACACAGACACAAACCAGTAGAATAAAAACCAAAAAATGAAAAACATAAAAAATAGAAACAAAAAAAAAAATAATGTGAGTTAGTTGGAAAATAAGAAAGGAAATAAAAAATATATAGCGATATAAATAAAAATAAATATTGTATACAAATAAAAAATAATATATCTATAAAAATTATTATTTAAATAGATATTTTTATAAAAATAAAAAAAAATATTTAAAAATAAAAAAATACTTAAAATTAAAAAAAAATTTAAATAAATAAAATTATATAATAAAAATTGATACCATTTTATATTCGGTTTAGGTTCTAGGTTCTAGCGAGATTTAATAGATTATCATAAACCTCGTTTAATTCCGGAAGAATTCACCATTGCTGCCACTAAAATTTCCTGCTTGTTAACATTTTTTTTGTAAATATGTATATTTTTTCCAGAACGTCTTTGTTTAAAAAAAATATATATTTCCAAGGGTTATTATTATGTTCGTGAATTTTTAAAACTATTTTGAAAGAGTGATGAGGGACGTTAAGGATGTTGTTTGACATTTTTTAAATAATTTTTACAGAGGCCTTTGTAGGCGTGTGATTTATTTCAATGGTCAATGACATTATTGGACCATACCAATGCGGCTTCAGACCTGGCAAATCCACCATTGACCAGATTTTCACTCTGCGCCAAATCCATCTATTCGTCGACTATAAAGCCGCATTCGACAGCCCTATCCGTTAAAAGGTGTCGGCATTTGGCATTTCTGCAAAATTAATACAGCTATGCAGGAAAACTTTAACTGGCACAAGATCAGCAGTTAAAGTCGGAAAGGACCTCTTGAGGCCACCCCCGCCAGACCAAATTCACGCCCTACAAGACGCTGACACTACCCGTGCTGTTATATGGATCTGAAGCATGGGTACTTGCGCAAGCAGATGAGGCATCTCTTGGAGTGATTGAGAGAATAATTCTCCGAAAGATCTATGGACCGATCTGCGTTGACGGTGAATATCGGTGTCGAATGAACCAATATTTTGTACCAGCTATTCTCGGACATCGACATTGTTAGACGTATTGTATTTTGCATTTTTAAATAAAAATATTTTTCGTGGTATATTTTTAGGCGTAGATTTTTAAAATGATATTTTCAAGGCACATTTTTAGGCGTAGATTTTTAAAGGGATATTTTCAAGGCATATTTTTAGGCGTCGATTTTTAAAGGGATATTTTCAAGCCATATTTTAAGGCGTTAATTTTTAAAGGGATATTTTCAAGCCATATTTTTAGGCGTTAATTTTTAAAGGGATATTTTCAACGCCTTTGTTTACTTGTGGACTTTTAACAGAACATTTTTCCTAGGTCTATCTGAGGCGCGAAGTTTTAAACGAATATTTTTCCTAGGCCTATATGAGGCGCGGATTTTTAAAACAATATGTTTTCACATGAAAATAATTTTTTCAAGTTAAATTTTTAGGCATGGTTTTTTAAAAGAACATATTTCAAGTTACACTTTTAGATGTGGATTTTGAAATGAATATTTTCCATGGTCTAACTGGGGCCTGAAATATTTTTCAAAGGTCTTGATTTTTATAAAAATATTTTTTCAATGGTTTACTTTTAGGTCTGGATTTAAAAAAAAAAAATATTTTTTTAAAGACATACTTTTAGGCGTTGACTTTTAAAAGAAAAATTTCAAAGGTATATTTTTAGGAGTGGATTTTTGAAAGATTATTTTTCCAAGGTGGATTGGCGTAGATTTATTGAAAGAATATTTATCGAGGTATATTTGTAGGCGTAGATAATATTTTCCCAAATTCTCCGAAAGATCTATGGACCGATCTGCGTTGACGGTGAATATCGGCGTCGAATGAACCATGATTTGTACCAGCTATTCTCGGACGTCGACATTGTTAGACGTATTGAGCTGCAGCGACTACGTTGGCTAGGTCATGTTGTGCGAATGGATGAAGATGCCCCAGCCCAGAAGGCATATAAAAGCGAACCAGCTGATGGTTCACGCAGAAGGGGAAGGCCACGAATAAGATGGAAGACAACATTGCGAATATGGTCTTTCAAATTGGAAAAACTGCGCAAAAAACCGACGCGCATGGAATTTTTTTAGTTCGGCTTATGGAACGAAAGTGCTGTCAGAAAATTTGTATTAAAGAATATTTGTAGGCGTAGATTTTTAAAAGTATATATTTCAAGGTATACTTAGAAGCGTGGATTTTTAAATAAAAATATTTTTTTGGTGGTATATTTTTAGGCATAGATTTTAAAGGGATATTTTAAGGCGTTGATTTTTAAAGGGATATTTTCAACGCTTTTGTTTACTTGTGGACTTTTAACAGAACATTTTTCCTAGGTCTATCTATTTGAGGCGCGAATTTTTAAAAGAATATTTTTCCTAGGCCTATATGAGGCGCGGATTTTAAAAACAATATGTTTTCACATGTATACCCTTAGCCATGGATTTTTTAAAGAATATTTTTGAACTGTATATTTTTAGGCGTTGATTATAAAAATGATTTTTTCAAGTCATATTTTTTGGCGAAAATTTTGAAAAGAATTTTTTCAAGTTGTACTTCGGCATGGATTTTTAAAAGAATATTTTTCAAGTTATACCTTTTTCAAAGGTTTACTTTTAAGTCTTGATTTTTATAAAAAATATTTTTTAATGGTTTATATTTAGGTCTGGATTTTTTAAAAAAAATATTTTTTTCAAAGGCACACTTTTAGGCGTTTATTTTTAAAAGAAAAATTTCAAAGGTATATTTTTAGGAGTGAATTTTTGAAAGATTATTTTTCCAAGGTGGATTGGCGTAGATTTTTTAAAAGAATATTTATCGAGATATATTTTTAGGCGTAGATAATATTTTCCCAAGGCATACTTTTAGGCGTGTAATAAAAAAATTTGCAAATGCATAGTTTTAGGCGTTGATTGTTAAAGAGCTCTTGTAAATGCATACTTTTTGGCGTGGATTTTTAAAACATTCTTGTAGATGCATACTTTTAGCCATGGATTTTTTAAGAATATTTTTCAAGGTACACTTTTGGGTGTGGCTTTTTAAAGAACATTTTTCAAGGTATGCCTTTAGGAGTGGCTTTTTAAATAAAATGTTTCGAGGCATACCTTTACGAGTGGCTTTTTAACGACTATTTTTCCATTGCCTATCAATTCGTGGATTTTTAAGGAATATTTTTCAAGACCTTTAAGAAATGTGAATTTTTAAGAAATAATTTTTCAAGTACTTTAAGAAGCGTATTTTTTTAGAATAATTTATCAAGATCTAACGAAAGCGTGGATTTTTCGAAAGAATAATTTTTATTTATGCCTTTTTAGAAGTGTGGATTTTAAGGAATATTTTTTTTCAAGACACCGGAAGCTTGGTTTTTTTAAAGAATATTGGTTTTAGAACAAAAGACAATATTTTCGGTAATTATTTTTTATTACCATTTTCGATACATGCCACGAGCTTCGATGTGTGCCTTTTACAAACTCCTAACCCTTCAGATTTTTCATAAAGTCTCTCCGACTCTTTTGTTCGGCTATAAAGTCTTTTTCTGTCCCTTTAGCTTGCCCTTACCAATTAATTTCGCCTCTAAGTTCTGTCTGGCTATTGAAATCGTGTATAAAGTTTCATCGAGCCTTCAGCCCGGATCACATAGCGCTTTATCTTGTCTATAAAGTATTCCTTCTACCCTTCACTTAGATACTAGACTCTGGACTGACATTCCAAACATCTATATAGACTCTCTGATCCTTTAACTCGCTCATTAAGACTGCCTGGGGTTTCAGCTGGTCTCAAGAGTCATTCCGGTTTATGGTCGCCTGGCCATTCGGCTCATTTATAAAGACTCCCTGGCCCTTCAGCTCGTTTATAAAGGACTTTAGCGTGTATTCGTGTCTAGTGACTATTTGCCATTGAACTATCAAGAAACGTTGACCCTTCGAGGCCTATCAACTAACCTCTTCAAGCATGATCTCCCCAATTCGGTTATGACTCTACGAAGTTACGATACAGTTCGTCTAAAATATTTGCTCACCAAACTGAGGATATGTTTATCAATTATGGGAAATTCTAAATACTTTTTTCTAAATAATTTCAATAAATATTTGTCAAGCCAATATTCAGTATTGAATTATGTGATTTTTTTATTATAGCATAGCAATATAAAATAATAAAAAATTATAAATATAATAAGGAAAATATTAAATAAAATAATAAATAGCGAAAAATTATTGTAAAATAATAATATAAAAAAACTATAATAATGTTATAGCGATTTCAAATGCAAACTGACACAACAAACGGCACGTAGGTAATTTTTTTTTTTCAGAAAAAAATATAAATGAAAACGGAACTTCGTCATAATCCTTTATTTTGGTTTTAACTGAGCCCATCAAAAGCTCTCAAATAAAATCGTTAGTATTTTTTTGTTTAATTTCCAAATAAATTTGAAAGAAAAACAAAATAAATTTCATTAGCTATAAGCCTGAAGTTTTTAACTATCGAATTTTAGTAAAAAAAAAACAGAAGCAGCAGATTTTTTTTTTTTTTTGGATTTTTAAAAAAATAGCACTTTTACGGAATATTTTATTTTGGATTTGTTATTGTATCTAATAGATAGTCTTGTAGTTGTTTGTGGTTCTATATTCTGTTTGTTTTGTAGTTGTAGTTGTTGTTGGTTTTTAAGCAAATACAAAACACTCACCATTGGACGATAGCCAGCACCAGTTGTAGCAGCCATGGGTTGAGGTGTCCAATTAGCACCGGGTTTCGCGGTATTTTTCGGTGAATTCCATTGCACAGGTCTATGGAAAATGAATAATAATGGGAAGAAGAGTTTTTGTTTGTTTTGTTGTTGTTGGGCTAGTATTTTTTGCTTTTTGGTGGGGGAATAGTTATGTGGGGTGTGAAATTGAAATGGTAAATTGACATGGATGATATAGGCGTAATGGTGAAGGATGGATATCATCTAGGAAGTTCTAGGAACAGAAGGAACAGATGGCCGTGAGCTAGAGGCATTGGGGAAGGAAGTTCCTAGATTTTTTTTTTTTAATTTTGCCAGTTTTGAGTTAAGCCAATTATTTTTAAAATAATAAAATAACATGACATATTACACAGTGCTTTATTAAATTTTAGAATTTTTAAAATATATTTTTTTAAGACTTTTCAATTTAAAAAAAAAAAATTTTTGTTAAATATTTTTTCGAAGGCGTGAACTTTTTTAACTCATATTTTTTTAAAACGTGATTTTTTAAATATATTTTTTGATAGAGTGGATTTAAAAAAAAAAATATTTTTTTTTTTGAAAGACAATTTTTTTAAATATATTTTTTCGAAGACTTGGATTGAAAAAAAAATATTTTGGGAAGACCAATATAGGAGTGGATTTAAAAAAGGCTTCCATTTTTAATTTACTTTTTTCGAAGGCGTGAATTTTTTTAAAACTCCCTTTTTTTTTAATTCGTGGATTTTTTAATATTTTTTCAAAGGCGTAGATTTATAAAAAAATTGAATTTTTTAGATTTAAAAAATCGAAAGCGTGAATTTTTACAACAACATTTTTTTCAAAAGCTTGTCTTTTAATTTTTTAATATTTTTTCAAAGGCGTAGATTTGTAAAAAAAAATATTTTTTTCGAAACTTTTAGATTTAAAAAAATCGAAGACGTGAATTCTTACAACAAAAATGTTTTTGAAGGCTTCAATTAAAAAAATATATTTTTTCAAGCACCATTTTTAAAAAAAATATTTTTTTGTAATTTTTGAATTGAAAAAAAAATTTTTTTGAAGGCTTGGATTTTAAAAAAATATCTTTTTAAACTCCATCATACTTTTCAAACACAATTATAAGCGCCGATTTAAAAAATCTTTTTTGAAGACGTGGATCTAAAAAAAATTTTGTTGATGGCTTGTATTAAAAAATATATATATTGTTTTTTTTAGGCGGGGAAATTTTAATAAAAAAGTAAAAAAAATATTTTGGATTAAAAAAAATATTTTTTCGATGGCTTGAAAATTTTAATAAAAATTAAAAAAAATATATTTTTCGCAGGTTTGGATTTATTCACATTTTTTCGAAGTTTTTGATCTTTTGATTAAAAAATATTTGTTTTTCGAAATTTTGAATTTAAAAAAAAAAAATATTTTTTTTCAAAATTTTGGATTTGAAGAAACAAATTTTTTCGATAGCGTGAAAATTTTAATTTTAAAACTCCCTTTTTTAAAATCGTGGATTTTTTAATATTTTTTCAAAGACGTAGATTTGTAAAAAAAATTTAATTTTTTAGATTTAAAAAAATCGAAGGCGTGAATTTTTACAACATTTTTTTCAAAAGCTTGTCTTTAAATTTTTTAATATTTTTTCAAAGGCGTAGATTTGTAAAAAAAATGTCGAATCTTTTAGATTTAAAAAAATCCAAGTCGTGAATTTTTACAACAATTTTTTTTAAAAGCTTGTCTTTAAAAAAAGTTTCAAGCACCATTTTAAAAAAAAATATTTTTTCGTAATTTTTGAATTGAAAAAAATATTTTTTTGAAGGCATGGATTTTTAAAAAATATCTTTTTAAACTCCATCATATTTTTCAAACACAATTATAAGCGCCGATTTAAAAAATCTTTTTTGAAGACGTGGATCTAAAAAAATTTTTGTTGATGGCTTGTATTAAAAAATATATATATTGTTTTTTTTAGGCGGGGAAATTTTAATAAAAAAGTAAAAAAAATATTTTGGATTAAAAAAATATTTTTTCGATGGCTTGAAAATTTAAAAAAAAAAATATTTTTCGAAGGTTTGGATTTATTTACATTTTTTCGAAGTTTTGGATCTTTTGATTAAAAAATTTTTGTTTTTCTAAATTTTGAATTTAAAAAAAAATATTTTTTTTCAAAATTTTGGATTTGAAGAAACAAATTTTTTCGATAGCGTGAAAATTTTAATAAAAATGCATAAAAAATATTTTTTCGAAGGTTGGATTAAAACAAAAATATGCATTTTTCGAAGTTTTTTGAATAAAAAATATTTTTTTTCGAAATTTTGGATTTTGATAAAAATTTCCTAATTTTGAATTTGAAAAAAATATTTTTCTTCGAAATTTTGGATTTGAAAAAAAATCAAAATTTTCGATTTGAAGAAAAATATTGTTTTCGAAATTATGAATTTTTTTTTGCAAATTTTTTCGAAAAAAAAATCTCAAAGATTTTTCTTTACAAAAAATCTTTGGTTTTTGGCGGAGATCATACGACCAAATTAAATTAGAAAGGACAAATATCTAAAATATGGAGGATTATTTTCAAATTCTCATAAAAATAAATTATTGTGTTTCATTAAAAACTGTTATACTCGAAAAAATGGAATTAAATTTGTGAAATTAATTACAGGTGCAAAAACAATTATTTTTTAATCAATTGAAGAACTTTTTTTCAAAAAAAAAAAAAAAACAAAAAAATAAAATCCAATTTTTTCGAAATTCCTTTCAAAATATTTTTTTTTTTTTCAAAATGCATTTTTTGAACTTTCGCCCACGAAATTAAAATGGCATCCATATTATTGAAGAATTATTTCATAATTCGCCTAAAACAAATTTTTGTGCTGTATAACAGTTTGGATATAAACTGTTATAATCGAAAAAAAAAATTACAAAAAAATAAGAAATTTAAGATAATTGACTTGTAATATATTTAGAATTGCCTATGATACATTTCATAATTTTTAGGACAATTTTTTTTTTAAGTATAACAGCTTTTATTGAAACTGTTATAATACTGCAGAAAATATTTTTTCATTCATATTATTGAATTGAATTATTTCATAATTCGCCCAAAAAACTTATTTTTATGCTGTATAACAGTTTCAATAAAAACTGTTATACTTGAAAAATTGTTCTAAAAATTAAGAAATTTATCATAGGCAACTCTAAATATTTTTTTGGAACAGTTATACTGAAAATATATTTTTATGCTGTATAACAGTTTTAATATAAACTGTTATACTCTAAAATTTTTACTAAAAATCAAGAAATTCATCATAATTGACTTTTAATATATTTAGAGTTGCCTATGATACATTTCTTAATTTTTACAATTTTTTTCAAGTATAACAGTTTTTATTGAAACTGTCATAATACTGTAGAAAATATATTATTTTCGTCCAAATTATTGAAGAATTAGTTCATAATTCGCATTAAAGCCTTATTTTTATGCTGTATAACAGTTTCAATAAAAACTGTTATAATTGAAAAAATTGTGTTAAAAATTATATTGAAAGTCAATTTGAAATTTGTTTGAAACTGTTATACTGCAGAAAATATTTTTTCATGAGGATATTTTTTTTTCAAAAAAATTTAATACCAATATTTTTTAATATTAAAATTCCTATTTTGTTAAGAAATATATGTTGCACTGTGTAACAATGTTGATATTTTATTTTAAATTAATGATTTTTTTCGAAATATAAGCAAGCCAATTTTTTTTTATTTTTGAAAAATTTGCAAGAAAGAAATAAGAGAGCGAGTGAGAGAAAAGGAGCTAGGAAGGAAGCATGAGAACAGAGAGGGTGAGAGTAATGGACATGATGTCAGAGAACATGCATTGGAATGATATGTCATGTATGATGTTGTTGTTGTATTTTCTTACTCACTTTGTGGTAGCCGTTTTATTTATATTCAAATTTTCTACTAGCGACATTAGCGAACTATCCAAATCGCCGGTCAAGATTTTTCCAGTGCTGGCTGGTTGTTGTTGCTGCTGTTGTTGTTGGTGGTCACCTGAAGTTATAACATTTGTTTGATTTATGGATGTTTTGAGGCCGCCGCCGCCAGCAGCCATCGTGGCAGCTGTGGCTGAGGTGGCTGTTATGCCGGGCTTTAGGACATCACCCAGGGCATCAAAACCTTTTTAGTTGTTTTTGTAATTTTTTTATTTTGTTTTTTGTTATTAACACATTTGACCGGACATAAAGATTCCCCGAAAAGTTATTATTTTATTTAATTTCCCCAACAACCATTACGAGAGAGAGCGAGTGAAAAAAATTATGGGGATTTTTTTCGGGGGAGAGAGAGAGAGCATTGCGGTTTCATTAGGAAGTGCATATGGGTGTTTCCATGTAAATATATTTACATTATAATGGAATGTGGTAAGACATTTAGATTTCAAAATTTACAAAAAAACAAAATATAACAGTTATGGACATTAATATTTTGAGATATGAACCACCAAAACCCATGAATGGACATTTAGTTATACATTTAGATTAATTTCAAAAATATATATAAATATGGACCCGGGTTCGTTGCATGAGTTTATTCCACCATAGATATATTTTATACACATTATTATTGTTGTTGTAATTGTTATAAATGTTAGAACGTCGTTTGTGCCACCACATACATATTTGAGTTTGTAAATTCCCAAAACACACACATTGAAGATTTATTTTTTTTTAGATTTTTGTTTTAATTTTCACAACACGTCATGATCATTATTTTGGTTTTTAATTATTTTGTGGGTGTTTTAATTTATATATTATTAAAAAAACATAAAAAGAGAAGAAGAAAAAAAATACATTTGCAAAATAAATATTGATGAATTTGATTTGAGAAAAAGGGTTGTGTTTGGTTTTGCTTTGCATGTTTTTATATTTAATAATATAAAAATGTGGTTATACTAATAATAATAAATAACTATAAAGGTTCTAATTAAAAAAATGAAACATAAAACAAAAGAGAGAGAGAGGTGTTTGGGTAGAGGACGAGAGAGACAAATGACAGACAGCTTGACATTATAAGGGAAGGGTATTGTAAATGCATTGATTTTTGTCACAGGTAAGTGGTTTCCCAAAATGGGTGAAGCTGATAAAACTGGAAATTTAGCAATGATTTTTTTTTTTTCAATTTACCGTTTTTTTTTTTCAAAAATTCAATAATAAAATAATGGTTAAAAATCAAAATTGCCAGCATTTGAGAGAGAAATACTTTCTAAATGAATTAAAATTTAATTTTGTAGATGAAAACCGCGAAAAAATCGAAATTTTCGTCGTATAACAGTTTTGCTGAAAACTGTTATACTAGATTTTTTTACGTCAAAAAGTTAGAAATTTGAAGTCTATTACTAATTTATATAAATTTGATTCATTTTAAGGCATTTTAATTGTTATGCAAGAAAATCGAAATTTTCTTTGTATAACAGTTTTGCTGCAAACTGTTATACTAGATTTTTTTACGTCAAAAAGTTAGAAATTTGAAGCCTTTATATACATTTGAGATATTTTAAGAGTGTTTTAATTGTTTTATTACAATAAATCGATTGCTTTGTTCAAAATCACAAACAAAAAATCAAGTGAAAATGCAAAAAAAATCAATTTTGATGACATTTGAAATTGAAAAACATTTGAAAATATATTTAAATTGTTTGATTGATGTTAAAACATTGAAAAAAATCAATATTTTCTTAGTATAACAGTTTTTGGCGAAACTGTTATACTTGAATTTTTCTACCAAAAAATGCAGAAATTTGCAACATATTAGATTTAAATTGTTGTATTACAACAAATTAATCAATTTGTTCAAAATTACAACAACATCAGAAAGTTTCAAAACACCACAAATTTTGAAAATTAATAAAATTTTGGGAGTTAATATTAAAAAAAATTTAAAAAAAATCTCAGTATAACAGTTATGTCAATACTGTTATACAAGATTATTTTCTAACAAAAGAACTAAAATTGAAGTATAATACTATTATTTAAGTTGCTGGATGAAGCATTTTACAGCAGTTTTGTTTTGTTTCGTTTCGTTTCATTTTTATTCCAAATGACTGGGCAATTTATTCAGAATTACAACAAAAATTGAAAAAATATAAACCGTAGTGACATTATAGCGCGAAATATATCTCAACATTTATTTAAGTTGCCGGATTAATGTTAAAACATTGAAAAAAGGATTTTTTTCTCAGTATAACAGTTTTACCGAAACTGTTATACTTGAACAATTTATGCTATAAAAAAGTCCAGAAATGTATTTATCCAGAATTTGCAATTTATTTGAACCATTAAAATTGTTATATTAAAACAAATGGGTCAATTTTACAAAATTACAACAAAAATCATTTTCAAAATTGAAAAATTCGCAAAATTAGTAACACTTGCGAGTGAAAAAGTTTTCACAATTGTATTTTTTATGTTAAAACCTCGAAAAAATCAAAAATTTCGCAGTATAACAGTTTTACCAAAACTGTTATACACGTTTTTTTTGTGCAAAATGCACAAAATTGAAAGTGTATTACTAATTTCAATCAATTTGAAGTATTAAAATCCTTAAAAATTTGTATAATGCAATAGTGCAGCAAAGAAAAAAATTCAAAATATGTTTGAAATCATCTAAAATTATTGATAATTGAAGTTGAAATTCATCCCCTTTTTGCTGTTAAGAATTTTACAAATTCAATGTTTTTTCCTAAGTAAAACAGTTTCCCTAAAAGTGTTATACACGATTTCAAGTCAATGCATTTACAAATTGATACCCTACAACTCCAAGACAAGACTGAATCTTCAACATGAGAGTGGGAGAGAGAGACACTTAGTGAAATGTATTTTGACAAAACGTTATAAAGAAAAAGAAAAACAAAGCAAGCACATGAGAGAGAGATAATTTTAATGAGTATGGATATTATTTACAATAGTATTTTTCTTAAGATTTGTTTTTATATAACAACCACCACCATTATTAAAATGTACATATTTGCATTTTTAAAAAAAAAATCTATTTACACACATTGTTTTTTATACTCAAGAATAATATCCTAAATATTTATTTTAAAAGTCCTTGATAAAACGTCTAGTATATTACTTTGTTTGTAAATAAACTGTTATACAAATAACCTAAGCCATATATATGAAGGAAGAACATTTTCTGGTTTGGATTTGTGACAATTGAAAATAATTAAATTTAAGATTTGTTGAAGAATTAAAAATAAAAAAATAGAAATATGTAAAAAATATAAGAACATATATATAAAAAAATAAAAATACAAAAAAAATAATAAAAAATAAATAAAATTAAAAATATACTCAAAAAAGTATATATATCAAAAAATACAATTAAAATAATTATTCAATAAAACAAAAAGTTAAAAAAAAATTAAAACAAAATAAAAAAAACTTCAACAATTCAAAGATATTATATAAAACCAGTAAGGAAAGCATTAAAGTCGAACTGGGCCGACTATATAATACCCTTCACCACTTTGGGTATATTCTACATATGTCTCCTAACAGACTCCGCCTTTTCGAAAGAACATTGCCATGAAATTGCACGAAACTTGAATATGTGATCATTATGCCTTTGTGGAACCTATGCTGAATTTTATTTCATTGAACCGATTTTCACGGACGAAATATATACACGAAACTTATCGCACATCATTCTACGCTACGCCAAATTTCGTGCAAATCGGAAGATGTATATCGACTTCGGTGCACCATTTACATAAAATCGGACGAAAATATATATGAGAGCTATATCTAAATCAGGACCAATTATCATGAAGCCTAGCACACATCGTTCTAGACTCAATTCAGTACGCAATGCAAAATTTTGTCCAAATCGAAAAATATATGGGGACTTTACTTTAAATCGGACAAATATATATATATATATATATATATGTGAGCTATATCTAAATCTGAACCGATTCTCACGAAACTTAACACACATCATTCTAGACTCAATGCAGTACACTATGCCATATTTCGTCCAAATCGAAAGATATATAGGTACTTTGGTGTACCATTTACATTAAATCGGATGAAAATATATATGGAAGCTATATCTAAATCTGAACAGATTTCCACGAAACATAGCACCCATCATTTTAGACCTAAATCATTACGCTGTACCAAATTTAGTGCAAATCGAAAGATATGTGGGGACTTTGGTACACCATTTACCTTATATCGGTCGAAAATATATATGGGAGCTATATCTAAATCTGAACCGATTTTCAGGAATCTTAACACACATCACATCACCAAAATCATTAGACTGTGCCAAATTTCGTGCAAATCGAAAGATATGTAGGGACTTTGGTGTACCATTTACACAAAATCGGATGAAAATATATATGGAAGCTTTATCTAAATCTGAACCGATTTTCAGGAATCTTAACACACATCATTCTAGATCTAAATCACAAGGCTGTGCCAAATTTCGTGCAAATCGAAAGATATATTGGGACTTTGGTCAACCATTGACAGTAAATCGGTCGAAAATATATATGGGAGCTATATCTAAATCTGAACCGATTTTCACGAAACTTAGCACGCATCATTTAAGACCTAATTCATTACGCTGTGCCAAATTTCGTACAAATCGAATGATATATAGGGCCTTTGGTGCACAATTTACCTGATATCGGACAAAAATATATATGGGAGCTATATCTAAATCTGAACCGATTTTCACGAAACTTAGCACACATCATTTTACACCTAATTCAATACGCTGTACCAAATTTCGTGCAAATCGAAAGATATATAGGGACTGTTTACATTAAATCCGACGAACATATATATGGGAGCTATATCTAAATCTGAAGCGATTTTTCCCAATTTCAATAGGGATCGTAAATAAGTGACCCATGCCAAATTTTATCCAATTTGGTTCAAAAATCCGATCTGTACTTTGTTTACAATTTAACATGGACAGACAGACGGACGGACGGACGGACACGCATAAATCGACTTAGAAAGTGATTCTATGCATTTTCTCAAAATGAACCATGTGACTATCTCGTTTCCTTTTGCCTGTTACAAATTTATGCACAATGGCATAATACCCTGTACCACAGTGTGGTGAAGGGTTTTTAAAATATTAAATTAAAATAAAAAATGGCTAAAAATAAAATAACAAATTTAAAAAAAAATATATAAAAAAATACAAAAAAACTAAAGAATTCTAAATAAAAAATTTAAAAAAAAAAAACAAAAATAAATTAATAAATTTTAAAACTAAAAAAAGTAAAAATAAATAAACCCTTAAAACTACTGTTAAAATATTTTTTTTAATAAAAATCTATAAATACAATAATATAAAATCAAAATAAAAAAATGTAAAAATAAAATAATATAAGAAAAGTTTAATCGAATAGAAATACAAAGTATTAGTTAATAAATTTTAAAACTAAAAAAAAATAAATAACCCATATAAACTCTACTATTAATTTTTATTTTCAAATATAAAATCTAAAAATAGAATAAAATAAAAACAAAATTAAATTAAATTAAAAAGTCTATAAATAAAATAAAAAAATTCTATATAAAATTGCCACTGAAGTCTTGGTTTTACATTTGAATCTTTTTTAAATAAAAAATAAAAATATTCAAATAACTAATGTAAATTTTTTTTTTTTAATAAAAAATCTATACAATAAAAATATAAAATACAAGTAAAAATAATATAAGAATAGTTAAATCTAATAGAAATACAAATTATTAGTTAATAAAGTTTAATACTAAAAAATTAAAATAAATAACCCCTACAATTAATTTTTATTTTCAAATAAAAAATCTAAAAATAGAATAAAATAAAAACAAAATTAAAATAAAAAGTCTATAAATAAAATAAAAAAATTCTATATAAAATTGCCACTGAAGTCTTGGTTTTACATTTGAATCTTTAATAAATAAATAATACTCAAATAATTAATAAAATTAATTAAAAAATAACATAAAACGAAAAAAAAATGAGAAGAATATATATAACAAACTCTAAATGTCAAAATACAAAATTCCGTAAAAAATATAATAATAATAAATAATATATAAAAATAAAATAATTGAAATTAACAATTTTTTTATTAAATATATTTTAATAAAATTAAAAACAAATTTTTAACTTTTATAACAGTTTTCTTAAAGTGTTATACATCTATGTATAACACAAAAGAATTTTAAAACAACATCTCAAGAACAAGGATTTTGTTTTAGAATTCTTCTACTTTCAAATTTATTATAACCTAAAAATTGAATGCGAAAAATAATTAAAAATATAAAATGTTAACAGTTAAATTTTAGTTCATATATTTTTTATTAATTATTAATTAAAAAAAAATATGTTCTTCCTTCTTTAAAAGACCTACTCTGCTATCAATACACTTTACAATAGAATAACCTTGAGCTTGATACATAATGTAAAATTTAATAAAAGTCCTCCTTAGGATAGTTTTTTTTTTTTTAAACTTCTTCAGAAGAAAAATCCTATTCCCTATGACACACAGACATAATATGAAGGCACACGCGCGCTCACACAATCAAATTCATTTTCAAATTAAAAAAAGCAAAAAAAAATGTAGTTGTTTTTAACACAAAATATTCGAAAAATAAATAAAACATAAACGAGGACAAAAAACGTTGAGAAGGAGGTAAGCAAGAAAAAAAAACGTAGAGGTGGTACATAACATATAAACAAATAGGGATTTATTTGGAAAACATAATGGACAATCGGAAGCAGCAAAAAATAAACAAAGGGGAGAAACTAATTCAAAACGAATAATAACAACAAAATATGACTTAAAGAAAAAAACAACAAAATTGACAATTATTGTTGTACATCAAGAGATCATGTGACGAATATTGAATAATAATAATAATATTGAACAACAACAAAAAATATAAAGGACAATTTAGGCCACATATAAGCAGCACGTACTCTTCTAAGGACAATAAGACAAAAAAGAAAAACTACTTTGGCAAAAATATAACAAAAAATAAATATGATGCCCTCCATGGGAAGCACATGAGAGATAGCGATATTACACTAAAAAAAAAACGGTGAAAGGTGTGAAGGCACTACTACATTGTTTTGAGTACGGCGGCTTGGTTTTGAAAGCGTTTAAGGAGAAGTTTTTGGTTTTCATTGTGATTATAAAGAAAAAAATTAATACAACAAATCACCTGGTGGCAATGAAGTTGGCTGGGCCACTGCTTGAACCGGTGGTGTCCCACCAGCCGCCATAAAGAAATTTGTTTGATTTGCTTGTAACGGAATGGAATTGAAACTGTTCAATGGGGCCGATGATGACGACATCGATGACGGTGGTATAGCCGATGTGGAGGAGGAAGTAGAGGCTAACAATAAAGATGATGGATTCGAAGTTGTGGCTGTTTGATCATTGAATAAATTTTGGGGTTCCATTGAATCAAAAAAAGGATTTGCTAATGCTGCTCCACCAGTTGCTAAATAATTAAATGACAAAAAAAAATGGGGGTAACAAAATTAGGAATAGGGGGTAACAGTTTTTTTTTTTTGTAATTTTTTTTTCAATTTTTCCAATTTAAAACAAAATGCAAAAAATAACAACCAAAAAAAGAAAAACAAACTAATTAAAAACAACCTACTAAATTACTTCAAAGGGAGGGAGGGGCTGGGGAAAAATTCAACACAAAAACAAAATATTACTCTCTAGAGTTAATATTTATTATTGAATATTATGTTACGATTAATAAAAAGAAATTACCCTAATGACGACTTATTATTTAGAAACCAAAAAAATTATTTTAAATTATAACAAAACTAAAAAAATACAAACAAAATATTGAATTACAAAAAATAAATTATAGAAAAAAAAACAATTAAGAAAATATGCCATAGTTATTTGGTTATGTTTAGCGATGATGGAAAAAAAATTAGAAGACAGTTGACTGTAGGTTAAAGTTATGCTATTGACAAGTTTTGGTTAGTTTTTAGTTACTTATATATAGTAGTAGGTTTTTCTTGTTATTAACATTGTAAATATATTTATAGAACAGTATAGGTGTTAAATATTTATAGTATATTATGTAGAAAAAAAATCATTTTCAAAACTCTGGGGGTTAGTTTGTGGTTAACATAGTTTTGCTATTCAAATTGAGTGGAGGTTTATTATAAAATTTGTTAGTATATTTGAAAACTTTTTTTTTCAAAACAAGAACTTTAATAAATTTATTTTGTATTTTAAAATGAAAACAAAAAACGTAAAACAGAAAATTTGTAACTAGAGGAAAGCAAACAAATGCATAGTATCTTTTTTTTTTGGTTTAACGCCAAAAGGGGAACATCAAACTTACCGGCTGGCTCAGTATTACCAAATACCGAAGAGAAATTGCTGTCCGAAACAAATGCATTGGCCGCAGCCGAAGGTACTGAAGATCCATTGAAACCTAAATTATAGAAAACATAAATTTTTTAGTAATAGGAAAATCAAATATTGTAATGTGAAATGGAAACAAGTATTTAGATACATATGAGATATTACCTAATAAAAATATAAATATTAATAAAAAATATTTATAAAACAAGTATTTATAAAAAAAGTATTTATAAAAAAAATATTTATAACAAAATAAACTTAAATGAAAATAATGAATATTTTTTATTTTTCAATATTTATGTTTTAATATTTATTTTTATTTTTTAATATTTATTTTTATTTTATATTTTTTATATATATATTTTTAATTAGGAAATTATATATTTTTATATATATTTTATTTTTAATATAGGAAATTTTTAATATATATTTTTTTTTAATATTTTTATTTTTAATATTTTTTATTTTTATATATATTATTTTTATTTTTTAATATTTATGTTTTAATATTTATTTTTTTATTTTTTATTTTTTATATATTTTATTTTTTATATATTTTATTTTTTATATATTTTATTTTTTATATATTTTATTTTTTATATATTTTATTTTTTATATATTTTATTTTTTATACCCTTCACCACCACACTGTGCTACAGCGTATTATGTCGTTTTGTATATGTTTGTAACAGGCAAAAGGAAACGAGATAGACACATGGTTCCTTTTGAGAATATGCATAAAATCACTTTCTAAGTCGATTTATGCATGTCCGTCTGTCTGTCCATGTTAAATTGTAAACAAAGTGCAGGTCGCATTTATGATCCGATTTGGATGAAATTTGGCACAGCTCACTCATTTGGCCCAAGGACGAACCCTATTTGTGAAACCCTAATTGGGAAAAATCGTTCAGATTTAGATATAGTTCCCATATATATTTTCGTCCGATTTAATGTAAATGGTGCACCAAAGTCCCTATATATCTTTCGATTTGCACGAAACTTCGCATAACGTACTGAATTGAGACTAGAGTGATGTCTGCCAAGTTTCGTGAAAATCGATTCAGATTTAGATATAGCTCCCATATATATTTTCGTCCGATTTAATGTAAATGGTGCACCAAAGTCCCTATATATTCTTCGATTTGCACGAAATTTGACATAGTGTACTAAATTGAGATTGGAATAATGTAAATGGTGCATCAAAGTCCCTTAATATCTTTCAATTTGCACGAAATTTGGCACAGAGTAATGAATAAGGTCTAGAATGATGTGTATTAAGTTTCGGGAAAATCGGTTCAGATTTAGATATAGCTCCCATATATATTTTCGTTCGATTTAATGTAAATGGTGCACCAAAGTCCCTATATATCTTTCGATTTGCACGAAATTTGGCAAAACGTATCCAATTAAGTCTAGAATGATGTGTGCTGAGTTTCGTGAAAATCGGCTCAGATTTAAATATAGCTCCCATATATAGTTTCGTCCGATTTTATGTAAATGGTGCACCAAAGTCCCCATATATCTCTCGATTTGCACAAAATTTGACATAGCGTACTGAATTGAGCCTAGAATGATGTCTGCTAAGTTTTGTAAAAATCGGTTCAGATTTAGATATAGGTCCTATATATATACATATATATTTTTTCCTTCGATTTTATGTAAAGCGTGTACTAAAGACCCAAAGTTTGTACGATTCACATACAATTTTGTTGAAATTGGTTGAGATTTAGATATAGCTCCCATTTGTATGCTCGTTGGAGTTGCACCGGTTGACACGAAACGTATCAAACTGAGACACAGCCTACATATATACTACAAACGGGTATCTGATTGAGATTAAATTTATGTAAATAAAATCGATTTACATAAATTTGTCCCATTGTACGCAAACGACTCTAAACCCGAATGAAATGAAATTTAGCATAGGTTCCAGAAACACCATATATTCAAGTTTGTTCAATTTCATGTCAATGTTCTATCAAAAAGGCGGAGTCTGTTAGGAGACATATGTAGAATATACCCAAAGTGTTGAATGGTTTCATATAGTCCGCCCAGTCCGACTTTACTACTTTCCTTACTGGGTTTTTAATATTTTTTATTAATATATATTTTTTATTTTATTTGATTATATAATTGTTTTATATTGTTTTTATTTTATTTTTTATGTGTATTCTTATTTTGTTTGTTAAATAAATTTTTTATATATATTTTTTATCTTTTGTATTTTTTATTTTATATATATTTTTTATTTTATATATATTTTTAATTTTATTATTTATTTATTCATTGATTTTATGATTTTTTTAATGATTTTCTACAAATAGAAATGCAATATGAGAACGTTTTTAATTTGCAGAACCAGAGAGCTTTGTTAGATCGTCTAGGTATTGCAATCTTTTGGAAATAAATAATAATTTATATTTATTTCCAATAAACTAAATATATAAATAATTATAAAAATAATATCAAATAAAATTATAAACTAAAAAGAGAAAAGAAAACAAAAAAATTAACTACCATTATTATTCATCCAAATATTATTTGAATGATTATTATTGACATGATTATTAGCACCTGTTGCAACACCGGCCGTACCACCGGCAGCAGCACCCAATGGGGCATCAAACATATCGGCGAATGGATTACCCAATTGTAGTAGGTCATCTGATGCTTTGGTAGCAGCACCAGCGGCGGCGGTGGAGCCAGCTGTGGCTGGCTGGGCTGAGGCGGCACCAAACAAATCAACTATCGGTGCACTAGCCTGGGTAGCTGGTGGTGACGATAAGAATGGATTTGTTAATGCAGCGTTAGCGGCAGCAGCACCGCCGCTGGTTGGTGACGAGACCTTTGACTAAAAAATGCAAGAGAAGAACAATTAATTAAAAGAAAATAAATTATGAATGAATTATCCGTTTTACCTTATATTGATTCATGGCTGCCTCCTCATCGGCCAAGGCCTGGGCCTTCAGCTGTTCATCAATGCCATTGGTGGTATCGAATTTACTCGAAGCAGCAGCTGTACCAAATGAAGTGCTAGTAGAAGATAGGGCAGAGACAGCAGATTTAACGTTCTTTTGGTTGTTACTTTTGGTTTTTGAAAACAATGTGTTTAAATTCAAGTTTTACGGTAGCAAACAATTTCAATAATTAAATTAAAAATTATATCGCAACAAAATCATATTTACAAATAACAACCAATAAGAAAATTAAAAAAAGAAGCAAGGAAATAAAATAGCAGGGAAGAAGAAGGAAATTTGTTTGAGTGTTAGGGTTTTTTGAAATAAAGGAAATTTTGAGTGTTTTGAAGCAGTTTGGAATTGTATATAGGATGGAAAGAAAATTTAGCAATAGTGTAGGAAGACAAAAAAGAAAACAAAATGAAATTAAATTAAAATTGTGCTATAAATATTTAAATAAAATTTCAAAGAAAATAGGAACGGATCAAATCTATTAACTAATAAAAAATCAACACAAAGTAGAGGAAAAAGCAAAAATAAAAAACTCTACATTCAGCAATTCAATTGTTCACAATTTTGGGATATTCAGGGATCATTTTAAAGAAGAATCCCTAGGATGATTATTTCAACGATTCCAGTTGTATGGGAAGGACATACTTGCATAGCTTTAAAAAGGTTGTGCAATTGTTTAAATTAAAAATTTCCTACCTAACAGTTTCCCTTTCCCTTGGTAACTCCCTTTTACAGAATTAAAATAGAAATAAAAGATAATAAATAAAGAAAATCTCCCTATGCTGAGATCTACACCACCACATTTTGGAAAGAAAATTTTTAGCATATAAAACCCTTGAAGAAGACTCAACAATTTTTCTAAAAGAGGACCAAATTTTCTAATTCCCATTAGAAGTGTGGATTATTCAAATAATATTTTTCCAAGGCTATCAGGGGCTAGGAATATTTTTTCAAGACCTTTTAAAAAGGTGGATTGTGAAATGAATCTTTTTCCAATATCTAGCATATCCCGCAATTTTAAAAACAATACTTCAAGCCCCATTCGAATCGTGGGATTTTTAAAAGAATTGTTTTTCCAAGACCTATACGAAGAGCGGTGGTGGTGTAGATTCCAAACAAAACAAATCAATTCCCATATCAACTCTCCGGCATCACAACAAACCTTGCCGTTTGTGTTGGAGTATTGGCGGCCGAAACTTTACGTCCCTCCAGCGTGGCCAAATGCTGTTCCAATGCATCCAATAGGGAGCTGGGTGCTTTAGTTAAATCGGGTATATCACCCTTGTCGATGCCAACATTCTGAAAAAATACAAAAATTATTATTTTTTTATCACTACAAAAAAGTGTGAGTGTCCGAAAATTTACCTCTGCAACCTTTAAGAATTCACCAACACGATCCATGCGCACCAAAAACTTCTTGTACAAATCCAATGCATCGCGTGCCTGCTTCTTGTTCATATCGAAATATTTCTCCAATAAATTAATAATACCATCATTGTAACAGGCAAATAAACGAATGAGATCACGGAATAATAGCATAAAGGACATATTGATGACACCTGTGAGAAGAAGAAAAAAGAGATAGGGGAAATATATTTTTGGATTTGATTTATTAAAGTAAAGGCCTAATAAAAAAGTGGACTTAAAAAATAATTTTTCAAGGTCTCTCAAAGGCATGGATTAAAAAAAAATAAGTAGTATATTAAGACCTATTTTAAAAGAATATTTTTACAAACCTAATATAGGCGTGGTTTCTTTAAAGACAAATGTTTCTAGGCTTTTAAAACAGATTTTAAAAATTTTTTCTAGGCCTATCAAAAGGGAGACCTAAAAGAAACCTGGTTTTTATTTTCCAAAATTTTAAAAATAATCGGGCCTAAAAGAATCCTGGATTTTAAAAATTAAATTTTTCCAGACCTAAAAGAATCCTGGATTTAAAAAATATTTTTCGAGACCTAAAAGAAACCTGGATTTTAAAACGAATATTGTTCGAGGCTTTAAATAATCCTGGATTTTAAAAATAATCGAGGCCTAAAGGAATCCCGGATTTTAAAAACAATATTTTTCCAAGGCCTAAAATTATCCTAGATTTTAAAAATAATATTTTTCGATGCCTAAAATAAAAGTGGATTTTAAGAATAATATTTTTCGAGGCCTAAAAGAGTCCTGGATATTAAAACGAATATTTTTCGAGGCCTTAAATAATCCTGGATTTTAAAATTAATATTTTTCGAGGCCTAAAAGAGTCCTGGATTTTAAAAATAATATTTTTCGAGGCCTAAAAGAATTCTGGATTTTATTATTTAATAATGATATTTTTTGAGGCCTAAAAGAATTCTGGATATTAATTAATTAATTAAAATATTTATCGAGGCCTAAAAGAATTCTGGATTTTATCATTTAATAATTATACTTTTGAGGCCTAAAAGAATTCTGGATTTAAAAAAAAATATGTATCGAGGCCTAAAAGAATCCTGGACTTTAAAAATAATATTTTTCAAGGCCTAAAATAATCCTGGATTTAAAAAAAAAAATAATACTATTAGAGGCCAAAAAGAATCCTGGATTTTAAAAATAATATTTTTTTCAAGGCCTAAAATAATCCTGGATTTTAAAATAATATTTTTCGAGGCCTAAAAGAATCCTGGATCCTGGAATCCCCCCGCTTACCATTTGTTAAATCACTTGATTGACAATCGAATTCTAATAGGGCATCCAATTGGGCTTGTAATACGGGCAAGGTTTTCAATAATTTATCGGCATGCATGGTGCGCAGGGAACCCTCCTCTTTGCTGTAATAAAGAAAAAAAGTTATTCAAATATTTTTTATAGGACAAAAAAAAATTCCAAAACTTACCCTCTTTTAACTTTACAAAAATCAAAAGCCATTGCACGATATGACAAGGATTTCTCATTTAAATATTTGGCATAACGTCGGATAAAGGGTGACATATCATAACCTAGAGAGTGGTTAGATTAGTTTCAATGGGATTTTTCAAAAAAAAAAAAAATAATAATAATGAAATTTTTAAATCAATCATCTACCACAAACCAATTTTGTCTTTTAAGTACGGGGAACCAAGGAGGAAATTCATGGAGAATTTCCTTCTCTGGGGTTCCTTTTTTTTTTTGGTTACAATTTCTAAAAGCAAAATTTCTACAAAACGGCATCTAAGAATACATTTAAGTACTCACCCATTCTGCCACCAGGTACCGACATACCACCATCTGGTATTAAAGCATATTTTTACAGATTTTTTTGTTTGTTTGATTTTTTTGTAGAGGGGGAGCATGATTGAGTAGTAGTAGTAGTAGAAGTAGTAGTGGAGTACAACAAAGAGTAGTAGTGGTAAGCGTTTAAAACACGGGAATACAAAAACACAATTGATATACATTTTTGATTGGTTGTTGTTGTTAAGCATGATATATATAGAGGTTACATTTCAAGTATTTTATTTTTAAAATTAATTAATTTGAAAATGATACGTTATTGTTTTACAAAAAAGCCATGAATGATGTTTTGTTGTTGTTGCCATGACATGTGTGTGTTTACAAAAAATTATTAAGAGGAGCGGGCGATTGTTTTTTTTTCAGATTATCCATATTAAATTTTGAGTATGGCAAGAGTATTATGTTGAGGAAGAAGGATAGGTTGGGTTTATGCAGGATAGTTATATTTTATTGTTGGCGTTATGTGTTTAAAAAAGTTGGAGGAAAAAGAGAAAAAGAAAAATCATAAAAAAGCATCAAATTGTTACCACAACAGAAAAAATGTTTTTAAAATAAATTAAAACTAATTTTGTTATAAATTAATAATGATTAATAAAATATTAGGGTGGATTATATGATGGAAATAAATGAACTAGTTTTTTAAGATCGTAAATGTTTGAAATATGATTTTTTGTTATTACAAAATGTTATGCAAATTTTAAGAAAAAATGAAAACAAATCTCAATATGTCTTGAGAGCAATTTCATTTAAAAACATTTTTGTTTTATTTCTCTGTTTACCTTGCACACCTCCTTTATCCAAAAAATTACTTAGATTAAATGTGGAATTCGATGATGCCAAATACTGCATAAAACGCTGCAATGAAAAAATAGATTTCATTAATTTTGAAAATAATTTTAGAAAAACAAATTACCTCATTTCCATAGGCCATCAAATGATGTGTGGTTATTAAGGCCTTGTACACCACCACCCAATGGGTATTTTGTGAACGTTCGATAAGTAAATTGGCCAGATGTGGTATTGATACATTGGGTTCATTTGTACAATGTACTAAATCTGTAAAGAAGAGACGAGAGAGGAAAAGAAATTAAATAAAGTTCGTGGAACGTTTATCAGCGAATATGGTAACAGAATGCATATTATCGCAATTCGCCTGCATATAATAAAATATTTGAATTTGTTTAAAACGTAATTAAGAAAACAAATATTTCAGTTCAATATCAATTCATGATTTTCTTTGTTTAATTAAATATTTTTAAATAAGATTTCTCCAAAAAAAATGTTTTCTAGGTCTGTTAATGAGTGGATTTTTTAAAGAATATTTTTCCTGTGCCTAAAAGAATCCAGGATATTAAAAAGAAAATTTTTCGAGGCCTCAAAGAATCCCGGATATTTAAAATAATATTTTTTGAGGCTTAAAAAATCCTGAATTTTCGAGGCCTAAAAGAATCCTTGATTTTGAAGGCTTCAAAGAATCCTGAATTTTAAAAATACTATTTTTCGAGGCCTAAAAGAATCCTGGATTTTAAAAATAATATTTTTCAAAGCCCATCCGAATCCTGGATTTTTCCTACGCCTGAGGTGTGGATTTTTATAGGAATATTTTTACTAGGCATATCTGAGGCGTGGATTTTTCAAGGAATATTTTTCCTAGGCATATCTGAGGCGTGGATTTTTAAAGGAATATTTTTCCTAGGCATATCTGAGACGTGGATTTTTAAAGGAATATTTTTCCTAGGCATATCTGAGACGTGGATTTTTAAAGGAATATTTTTCCTAGGACTATTTAAAGGCGTGAAATATTTTTCCTACGCCTATTAAAACGTGGATTTTTTCAAAAGAATATTTTTCCCAGGCCTTTTAAGTTGTGCATTTTTAATAGAATATTTTTCCTAAGCCTATTAAAGCGTGGATTAAAAAAATAATATTTTTCGAGGCCGCAAAGAATCCTGGATTTAAAAAACATTTACTCCCCCAGGAGACGATGGTTCCTTGACTGACTTCCCCTTCTTCCTAATTCGACCACTAGTGGATACACTCAAAGCTTTAGTTTCACCTTTGTCGTTAGGCGCACCTTATGGGTGACATTTGGCTTCGGGATTTTCTCAATTGCCTTTTCCTGTGCATTCTTACTAGGGTTCGGCTTCGAGCTGGGCTTCATGTCAGAATTCAGCTTAGCACCTTTGTCAGAGACAGTGGGCTTTGCCGATTCTACCACATTTGTGCCAATAGTAGGATTCGAGAGGGATATCCTTTCATTCTCGAGTTCACGATGAAGAGCGTGCGGATAGATTCTCACGAACTTTCTTACGTATCTCATCTTACCCTTGATGAGGTGTACGTCCCTGTCCCATTAAGGCGTGGATTTCCTCAAGAATATTTTTTTGAGGTCCATTAAGGCGTGGATTTCTTAAAGAATATTTTTTTGAGGTCCATTAATGCGGCGATTTCTTAAAGAATATTTTTTTGAGGTCCATTAAAGACGTGGATTTCTTAAAGAATAGTTTTTGGAGGTCCATTAACGCGTGGATTTCTTAAAGAATATTTTTTTGAGTTCCATTAACACGTGGATTTCTTAAAGAATATTTTTTTGAGGTCCATTAAGGCGTGGATTTCTTAAAGAATATTTTTTGAGGTCCATTTTTCCAACCCTTACAAATTTGAATAAAGTCATTAAAATATGAATCATCGAGTTTGGAAGAAATTCAACTCCTCTGCCGTATTATGTTTATATTTGCTTTGGAGACAATTGTCTCGCCTAAAAGTAACAACAACATAAAGCAGGCGGCGTGTAGAGCAAAAAAATCACAAGCACAGAAAGTTATTGTGAACGAAGGAGGAACGAACGAACTTATGTAAATAGATAATTTCAGTACACACAAGATATTGAACAATCAATGGATGACATCAACATCGGAGTGCTTAAGTACAACAAAACAAAATTCTCAAAAAAAAAAAAAAAAAAATAACACACTTCTAAAACTATGTCAATAACCGGACTAAGAATAGCTATAACTTCTTAAAGAAGAAGTTCATATGTCAGAAGTCTTTGTTATATTATTGAAAATACATTCAAAATTTAATTTTGGTTACAAGAATTTTTTAAAAAATTGTGATACCTTTTTCGAATTACCCTGTAGCATGTAAGCATGACCACAACATCCTCTTTATTATGAAATAAACGTCCAATCTAAAAATAAATTTTTCTTTGAATATCAAAATACCCCTCTTATTTGGAAATCCCGGTATTAAGCAATTATTCAAAACAAGAATATTATAAGGTCATATAAAGAAGCGGATTTTATAAAAAGTAGTCTCTAAACCTATTAAGACTTCAATTTTATGAAGAATAGTTTTCAAGAAATATAGGGGAGAGGGGGGCACCTTTGAACACTTTTTGCTTTCAAGCCTTATAAAATTTTTTATTTTATCATTTTTGGTTTCTTATAAATTTTAACTAATAGGTACATATGTAACCTTTAAAATGAATATACATATGACATACTATAAGCTTGATAAATATATTTTATTACTGTTTTAATGGACGAACTCAAAGTGTTCAAAACTGCCCCCCAGGGGGGCACCTTTGAACAGGGGTTGGCATTTTTGAACGACATGGTTTTTTACAGTGTTTATGTTCAAATATGTATGTATTTTATTCATACATATCAGAAAAGCATTAATTCATTAAAAAATATATTAAAAATTTTCAAAATTTAAAAAATTTAGATCAAAAATTATTAAAACATAAAATGTCTTAAAAATACAAATTAGTATGGTGAAAAATACAGTTAATTTCGTAATCTTATTAGCCCATTTGAAATTTTGAGAAATCGAAGCCAAAAATTAAAAAATCCTTTTTTTACTCGAGTTTAATGGGCATGTTCAAAGGTGCCCCACCCATGGCATTTTACGGAACTTTAAAATAACTTTTTTTGTAATAAATATATATGAAAGAAATTACATTAGTTATGTTTGAAATGATTGTTCGAATGCAAAAAATTTGTTTGACGAAAGAAAACTATCACAGAATTCTTCCTGCGCCCTTACAACCAAATGAATAAAAGTTTACAATGACACTGAGAAAACATGGTCACCCATGCACAATTTTTCGACAACTGAAAAAGCAAGCCAAAGTGGTTTACGCATATAGAGAACAAGATTGCCATATACAAAAATGTGGTTGCGGGTCGGAAAAATATTAAACCAAGATTTTATGAGCGCTGTTCAAAGGTGCCCCACGTTCAAAGGTGCCCCCCTCTCCCCTATATTTTGTATTAGGCTATTAATGTTTAAAACGAATTTTATTATTTTTTTAAACCTGACCTGCTGCCCAATTTAGTTTATCGCGCTGCATTTTATGGCCAGCTAGCCTTTGAAAGTCAGCTATTTTTTGGGTGGATTTAGTACATTATTTCCTTTATCCAAAATAATGTGTGGTCATGGAGATTTGCTTTCAAATATCATAAATCCATTTTTTGCTTATTACTGGACCAGACATTGAAATGATAAGCCTCGAATAATATCTAAGCCGCTTCCTTAATTTCATTCAATACCCAGCAATTTAATTTCATTTAAATATGTCAAGATTTGCACACTTGAAACTCTATCATTCTCCACTTGCCTTAATTCAATAAGAATTTAATTAATAAATTTATTGTTTTTTATTTGTTCGACCCGAAATATATATGACATCCTTTGTATCCTGATAATATACATTCCTTATAACTCAATTTTATTTAAATTTTAAAATAAAATCTTTAAATTCCTCCCTTTTATTTGCATTAAATAATGCAAACATTCCCTACTAAATTTAATTCCTACTCAAAGAGATGTGTTGCCCTCACTCTCTCACACACACACTCTTCCTATCACTGCTGAGTACCGTACACTCTCAATGGCATTGCAATAATAACCATAACAACAACAATCATGAAACAAAATGCATTAGCCGCATGTGGGAAAATAGGTTATACAAAAGTAATAAGGAAAATTGGCATTTGCAACATGTGATTGATGGTGGTTGGGTTGTTGTTGGTGAAAAGAAATGAAGAAAAAAATGCATACATTCATAAGTAAAGAGTTGTGCGCACGATATACTACCACATCAGGCAAAACCCCGCACGCGTGCTCTCCCCCGAAAGTAAATAACAGCATACTCTCATGCACATTCAATGGAAACAACAGAAACAACAACTCTCTGCCCGAGCCTGATATACTACCACACAAACCACCCACCCCCACCCAACTCACCTGTCTCTAACTAACTCTCAACTCAACAACAACAATAAATACTTTACTCTGACGTAATAGAAAAAAGGAGAGTAGTAAAGAAAGTACAAGTGGAGTTGAAAGGAAAGCAAGCGACTACACAGACTCACACACATACACACAGCATGCAATGTTATGTAGTCAAGCTGACATTGTTTGTTATTGGATTCCTAGACATTTTTAAGTTGTTGTTTTTTTTGTTTTGTATAGAGGAAAACAAAAATAAGCTTGTCTGCAGCAGTGGGGATTGAGTATGAAATATGATTGCAAGAAGAAGAAATACTTTGGTGTTTATGCATAAAACAAACACAACAAGTTAGGTGTATATGTTAGAGCAAAGTTTGAACATGCATAGCAACACAAATTCTTGAAGAAGAAGAAGACATGTTTATGAACATACGTACATACATATTTCAATAATGCAAATGATGAATGTCTTTGCTTTACAGTGGCTCCAAACGCAAAGGGAGGGAGGAATTTGTAATAAATTTTAAAAACAAATGTCTCCTAGGCATTTATGGCCGTGGATTTTTTAAGAAATATTTATTTTTAGGGTCATTTAGGCGTGGATTTGTTAAAGAATATTTTTTAGTCCATTAAGATTTGGATTATATTAAGAATATTTTTAGAGGTCCGTTTAGGGTTGGATTTTTTGAAGAATATTTTTTGAGGGCCATTAAGGCGTAGATTTTTTAAAGAATATTTTATTGAGGTCCATTAAGTCTTGAATTTTTCAAAAAATATTTTTCTGAGATCCATTAAGGTACAAATTTTTGGATGAATATTCTTTTTCAAAGGATATTTTTTTCAAACGAGGACAATTTTTTATGGGCAATTATAAAATTATTTTTTTTTTTTAATGTTCAAGGAGTGCCAATTTTTAATAGTCTTTCCTTTGACCCACTGTAAATCAATGTCAATAAAACAAAAAAATTAATTTATTAAAAATACTTTCACATTTCTTACAACCATTACAAATCTATTCCCTCCGTTAAAGTAACCACTTAACTAATTTGTTGACATAGTGAATGGACGTAAAGTGTGACGCTGCGCCACCACACCATATCGCCTGCCTAGCCAATTACAATCAATAAATCGATTGAAGAAAATTGTATTTGTTTTGTGACTGACATACGTCACTTGGCGTTTCACCAGCCATTGATGATGAGAGGAGGGGGTATGGGCAAATATTTGCTTCTTTTTCTCACATAAAGACATTACTCTCATTTCAAATATGTAGATAGGTATGCTGTAGATATTTCTCCATTATTGTTCACGTAACAAAGTTTTATAAATAAAAACACAACTGGGGGGATGAGCAGAAAGAAGGAGGTGGTGATGGTTTGGAGCATAGCATATGACCGGCTTTAAATTGTGAGATTGAAATACAAAAAAAACACAATACTGAATGCAAGCAAATCGAGTATGAGTAACATTTCGTGACAAGCAATATGTTATTTATTGTACAATCATCACACGTGACATAGGGTTGCCATGTTAAGGGAAAAATTATTATTAATTCATGTCGATAAAAATAGTTGTATAAAAAGGAATTTTGTAGCCTTTTCTCTTCTTTTCATGACCTATCAGAGGCGTGGATTTATTAAAGAATATTTTTCAAGTCCTATCAGAGGCGTGGATTTATTAAAGAATACTTTTTCAAGTCCTATCAGAGGCGTGGATTTATTAAAGAATACTTTTTCAAGTCCTATCAGAGGCGTGGATTTATTAAAGAATATTTTTCAAGTCCTATCAGAGGCGTGGATTTATTAAAGAATATTTTTCAAGTCCTATCAGAGGCGTGGATTTATTAAAGAATACTTTTTCAAGTCCTATCAGAGGCGTGGATTTATTAAAGAATATTTTTCAAGTCCTATCAGAGGCGTGGATTTATTAAAGAATATTTTTCAAGTCCTATCAGAGGCGTGGATTTATTAAAGAATATTTTTCAAGTCCTATCAGAGGCGTGGATTTATTAAAGAATATTTTTCAAGTCCTATCAGAGGCGTGGATTTATTAAAGAATATTTTTCAAGTCCTATCAGAGGCGTGGATTTATTAAAGAATACTTTTCAAGGGCCAACTGAGGCGTGGATTTATTAAATATTTTATTTTTAATATATTAATATTTTATTTTTTATTATTTTTTCAGTTTTATATTTTATTTTTCGATATTTCAATGCTACTTTTATTTTTAAATTTAAATTGTGATTGTTTGTATAATTGTTGTTTAATGAATTAATTTTGTTTTTATCTCTGGGTATTTTCTTGTTTTCATTTATTAATTAGTACCGTTAGACGGCTGGTGGCTTGGTGAATAATTTATTTTTGTTGTTGTTTTTGCTTTAAAAAAAAATAACAACCGGCAAAAAAAAACACTCAACACAAATAAAGTTAAATAACAAAAACAGGAGAGCTTTAATAATTTAATCTCCTTATAAAGGAGAGATGGAGAGGCAAAACGTTAGTGAGTAAATGAAAATAGATCATATTGGCGGGAGTTGGCAATTGCATTGTATGACAGCTGTGGGAAAAACAAGACAAATTGACAGATGTTGCAATTCACACAAGTAAACAGGATTTATTGAAGAAATCTGATGAAAAAATATAAAGGAAATCGCCTACATTTTCTAAGCAGGTATAAACATGTTTTACAAAAGGTATTAATTAATTAAAAAAACAATTTGAACTCTTTTTTTAGAGGCGTGGATTTTTTAAGAATATTTTCAAAAGCCTATCAGGGGTGTGGATTTATTATAACATCTTTCAAGGACCATCAGAGGTGTGGTTTAAAAAAGTTCCAGGCCCATCCGAGGTTTAAAAGAATTCAAGGTCCATCAGAGGCGTGGACTTTAAAAAAAATGTGGATTGCAGAGCTATGAAATAGTGAATTGTTGAATAGTTTTTCCTTTAACTAATAAAAAACTTCCATGTTTAAAATATAACCAGGAAACTCATATTTCCTTTAACCCTGTTTAAATATCTCCAAAACTTGTCACATCTGTCAAGATTATCATTAGTCATTTAGTTTATACATGTTCTTAAAGTTCATTTACACTTTCAGAATTTGCACAGTCTCTTTGTTTTCCATTTAACCCCACTATAAACGTCGTCTCCTTTTCTTCTTCATTCAATAGGGCAATTATAAAAATTGTATTTTGTCAAATGTGCATTATCAGCTCAAAAAATCATACATATAAAATAGCAACAAATGTCAAGCTGTTTGCTTTTCATTGCACTGCAATTCTACATACATTTCGAATGTTATTATTGAGCAACTGAATATAACGATTATAATAAAATGAAAGCTGATAATAACATCCGTTTTTTAAATAAGAAAAAAAATGAAGAAACAACGATTAAATAAAATAAAAAAGGGGTCAACAACATGTTGCAGAATGAAAATGAAATGTAGGGAAAACAGTAAAGGTTACACTTTAGCACTTAGCTAACGAGTGACCTTGTGAGGAGGCGACGTTGAATATGTCTACAACTTTAATGATGCGGTCAATATTTTCGGAATTAACGTTACACAACGATTGCTTAAATTCAAAATTTGGTCTTGGAAACGATTCCGCATTCATCTATTTCTTTGGAACTATCACCCGGATATTGTTCTACGATTCTGAAAAAATGCTACCGAAGAAGGTCGGTACACCTTGGAAATGGTGTTGCAAACGTAATGATATCCAATCGTTCTCGGGTCACTGCATTATCCTTAAATGAGAATTATGTAAAATGAAAGAAGAATAATGTCAAGTTCGGCGGAACTTTTTTTTACATTCCCAAATGGGGTTGGCAAAATATCTAAAATTAATGGGGTATCCTTGGGAAAAACTCATGTTATGATAGGAACTTGAACATACCGAAAAAGACGCGAAAAAAGTTGTTTTAAATCCTCAAAATACCGAATAGTGTGGCTAACGTTTAATGGGGATACACCAAGACGGCGATCGATATTGATAATACTCGGTAGTCAGATTTGACACCCATTGACAATACAAAATAACAATTTACAGTCTATTCGGTTGATAAACGTGTCCAAAATCTGCAAAATACCGAATATTGGGCTTATCGCTATATATGGGGGCTACCCTGAAACTTTGGTCAATATTAATAATTCTTAGTATGGAGGTGTCATATAAAACGAGAACCCAAAATACATAATTACATCCAATTCGGTTGAAAAACGTGTGAAAAATCCCCAAAATACCAAATATTGGGCGGTAGCAGTATATAATGGCAACCCTGAAACTTGGGTCATTATTAATAATTTTTGGTAGTGAGATTTGACACCTAATGAGAATATACAATACCAAATTATAGCCAATTCGGTTGAAAAACATGTTCAAAATCGCCAAAATTCCGAATGTTGGGGGATATCGTTATATGGAGGCTACCCTGAATCTTGGGTCAATATTCATAATTTTTTGGTACGGAGGTGTGCAATACAATGACAACCCAAAATACTAAATCACAGTCAATTCGGTTGAAACCCCTGTTCAATATACCGAATATTGTGGGCATCGTTATATGGAAGCTACCCTGAAACATGGGTCAATATTAATAATTTTTAGTACGAAGGTGTGCTATATAATGAGAACCCAAAATTCCAAATTACAGCCACTTCGGCTGAAAAAACGTGTTCAAAGTTCCTTAAATACCGAATATTGGAGGGTACCGTTATATGGGGGCTACCATGAAACTTGAGGCAATATTACTAATTTTTGGTATGTAGATTTGTCACCCACTAAATCAATATACCAAATCGGTTGAAAATAACGAATATTGGGAGTATCGTTCTATGAGGGCCACCCCGAATATTGGGTCAATATTAATAATTTTTGGTACGGAGATTCGTCATCCAAATTAAATCATACCAAATTAAATTTATTTCGGTTGAAAAATGTGTTCAAAATTAAATGGAATACCGAATATTGGGGGTATCGTTATATGGGGGCTACACTGAAACTTGGGGAAAACCGTCATTCATATACGAATTACTTTCGTTTTTCTTTCTTTCATTGAAAATTAAAAGTACAACACATTTTTGCCTGCCATAATGGCAACAGTATGGTTAGGTTCATAGATGTTATTCACACATACAATATGTCTTGGAAGATGTGCTTGGAAAACCGTCCATAGCATTTTAAGATACAATTTGTTTCTTTGTCCTAACAGAAACATATATTTCTGAAATGGCAATAAAGAATTGTTATTTTCAATTTATCATTTCTCGATATACGATACCCACCACACATAATCTCATTTTATATGTAAATGGATGTCGTCCCCTTTCATTCAAACTCTTACTGATAACACTACACACACACACACACTACATATTCAATATTAAAAAAATGGAACTTCTGTCGCCAGTCAGGCAGACAGGCTGATTGTCCAGTACTTGAAAAAGGGGCGTACAGAACCCTCGAACAGCATCATCATCATGAATTGATATTGACAGTAAAATGTTTTGCGATTGCAAATGGCAGTCAGCAATCATACATACAAAAATTAATTGAATATTAATACATTGTATATATGATAATTGAGAACAACAATAATACGAAGTAATATACTTACAATCTAAATGTTTCTTCTTGGGACCAATGCACTCTTCCGTTGTGGCCTTGCACACAGATTTGGCCAAACCTTGACCGGCCAAACTGTGCCTGGCAGCCAATAATCTGTCGTTGATTGTTTGTCCGGCCATAGACATGATGAGTTTTGTTTTTTTCCTCTGGTTTTTAATGCACAATTAACAAATTAACAAAATAATTTCTGTTTGGTTGGTTGCTTGCTTGATTGGCCTTGTCTTGTTTTAGTTTGATTTTTTTTTGTAATGCGTTAAATCTTGTGACAGCCAACAGTTGTTATTTGCGTGAGAGAGAGCGCGAGTATAGGTGGTGTGTGAGAACGAGCACGATAAGAGCAAAAAGAAATGAGGAAAATTGGTTTTGTTTTGATGTAATTGTGACAATTTATTGGTAATTTTGTTTTTAGTTTTCTTTTGCTTTTCTTTGTATTTATTTCACTTTTATTGACAAGTAATGAAAGTACCAGCTTTGATTACTATGGACTGCAAACAAAAAAAAATAATTTTATGACATTAAAAAAACACACACAGTCGCACACACAAAAACAACACTGGAGCGTAAATTTTTACTCTCCCATCAAGAGACACCAATTAATATCTTTTTTTTTCAATGATAAGAGGCACCAAGTCAAGAGCAACAACAATGATGACAACGACGACATAAAGGAGCTACACACTTGTAATAGGAATGACCCACAAAACAGATGGTGGTTTTGGCACATCTTCTAGTCGCACACACAAACGCCCCCTAAATAAGCGAGAGCATACAAAAAATGTAGAAACACCCCTTAAAAAATTCCATATTACAACAATATGACGTTTACGTTATTTTCTTATTAGAAATCCTTCGTTCTATGTTATATGGCAAAGGGAGAACAACGTTCACTTTTCTTTTGTAACATCACTTGTTTCCTCTCACTATTTCTTCTTTGGCTTTTTGTGATTCTTATTTTATTATTGATTTTCTCCACAAAATCAAACCATATGATGGATATTTTGTAACAAAAAAAGAACAACAACAGCGGCAGCAGCGCTACACAGAAATCATGACAATACAGATGAAGAAAACCCAATTAGACAAGAACGAACAAAACTAAATGACACTTTGCATAGAACAAGTGGGAGAGAGAAGTAGTCGGTGGTATGTACAAACAAACAACAACACCAACAAAACAAATATAGAGACAGGCTCCATCATCATCACATTAACCTATGAAGAATGTCAAAAAGATGTTGGAACTCAGCTGCTGCTAATGATGTTGTTGTTGCTTTTGTTGTAGAAGATGTGTGTTAAACAATCTGTTGTTGTTATCAATATTGTGCTGCTGCTGGTGCTCTCGTCCATTCATTACACACACACACACTCAATGTTTTTTTTCTTTTTTCACTTCTCAAGAACTATTTGGTTTTGTTCTTCTTCTTATGGTTAATGTCGTTAACATCGTCTACGGTCGTCGTCGTATTGGAATCAACATTTATTTCTTGCTTTTTTCATCTTTTTGTATCCACTTTTTTTCTTCTTATGGTTGTTACTTTTGCCTGGCAGGCACTCTTAACTAAACATCACCATCATCAACCAGCCAGCCAGGCAGGCAACAGAGAAAATACAACTTATAGAATAACTGGCTCTCAATAATACGTGGCTCACACACAACACAAATTTTTTCCCGATAAATATTCTTTTAATTGACACACACCAACAATTTATTAAAACCAATTTTGCACAAGCCCTAATATTCTTTATTTTTGTATGGCAAATTTTTTACCGTTGCTTTAACAACAAACGCACACACACCGAAAAGAAATGGAAAAATAGGCTTGTAATGCAAGAAGAAATTAACGTAATTCACTTTTTTTCTAGCTTGCGCATAGTAGTAGGCAGGCAGTCAGGCAACCCAAAAGAAGAATACACTTGACAAATTTACAATTCTCGTTTTCGTTTTTTTTTCAATCAATGGCTATTTTTTTGTTATGTATACTTTACAATTTTTTTATTTTATATTTACTTAATAATGAGCTTATTTCTTTTTTCTTGGAAATCTTTCTTTTATTATTTTTTCACTAACTTTTATCCGCTATTAGTTAAAAAAGATAACTTTTTATATATTTTTTTCCAGCTCTTGCCTAGCTCTTTCTCATTCGATTTTGATTTTTCAATTGTAAATGAGTATATATTAGGGTATCATAGGTCGACTTTTGGCCTATCTCGAATTCTCTTTAATCTCTTGTTTTGTGCTTGGCAGCACTTAAAGTGCTAACAGTGTGTTTAGATGAAAGAAATATTAAACACTACAAATGGTGTTAAGTTATTTTTTAGTAAGTTTTAATGTAAAAAAACGTATATACATTTGACAGCTGTGAGATCAAAAGGTTAAAATAGTAACATTTAGCATGAAGCAGCTCTTTTTTTATAAAATTGAGTTATGACAATTTTTTTTAAAGAATCATTTATTTATTCGATCATCAAGAGGAACAAGAAGATTGTGAGAGAATATAGCATGAAAATATAATGGATTTGAGGTTATGTTTTTGTGAAAAAGCTGCAAATTATGATGAAATCCATATCAGAGAAAAGGGAACCTTGCCATATCTTGTATCTATTTCATACCCTTTTATATCGAATAATCAGCCAAAACTTAACTTAATCTTATCGTGATTAAAAATCGCATTTACAAGAATCAATCCAATATTTCTGATTGAGTACCACTGCAGGAGATACTTTGTATGGAGGCTATATGGAAACATGATCCTACATTTGGTCTGTTCCCGGACTGCAAGAATCTACTCGATTTTACTATTTTCTTCGATATCATAAAGGAAAATTTGTTATCGTAGTAACAAGTAGTAGATTCTTGCAGTACGGGAACATATTGATTGTAAAACAGATTTATTTCACTTGGATTGAACACATTACATTCACTTGATTTAAAAATTAGACGATTTATTAAAAATTCTTTTGTTCTTTTTGGTAACTCTATTTCTCAAAAACATTAACATAACTGTTAAGATATTTTTTCTGTGAGAGAGCTTTTAAAAAATGCATATTCCAGTCAAATTTGTCACCCTCTGTATTCAAAATTCGAGACCAATATTTGAAAATACGTCTAGGTGATTCCATGCAGTTTACATGGATTTATTTCCGCCCTACTCCTCCTCCAACTAGTCCACTTTCTATTTAGTATAGAAGGTATAGGTCCATAGACAAAGTCTAAAAATCTTTGAAAAATCGAATTCAGCTTCAATAAGTTGATATTTTGTGTAGTCCTCCGAAGACTTGATAGGTTATTCGTATACGAAGAAGTTCGTCTAATTTGATAAACACGTTTTAGGTTAGGTTAGGTTTTAGATCTGAAGTGTCTATCCACATCCTCTACCCTAAATATCTATAATTTGGATTTCGATTATGCGATCTGAAATTTTCGGCATTGTTACCAAAAGAATTAAAAACAACTTTCAATATCATCGTTAGTAATATTGGTGTATGCGTCCTATGACTTAAAACATTCGTTTGATTTTACCCTTTTTTGATTTAATCATGATTTATTTGAAATAATAAATATAGCTTATTTTTTAAAATTTTATTTTTAAACCCGTGCTTATTAAAGATTTTAAGCGCATCGGTCTTGTGTGCATCTCATCCAATTTAAAAGATTTGATTTTTGCATAAGTGGTCAATGTTTTGATCTAGATCTGAAGTGCCTATCCACATCCTCTACCCTAAATATCTAAAATTTGGATTTCGATTATGCGATCTGGAATTTTCGGCATTGTTACCAAAAGAATTAAAAACAACTTTCAATATCATCGTTAGTAATATTGGTCCTATGCGTCCTATGACTTAAAGCATCGTTTGATTTTACCCTTTTTTAATCATGATTTACTTGAAATAATAAATATAGCTTACTTAGCTGGCTTGTGACAGAACGGGTTTTCCATAAGCCAAGCTTAAAAAAGACTTTTAAGCGCATCGGTCTTGTGTGCATCTCATCCAATTTACAAGATCATGTTCCGAGATGTCTTCTAGTCGATCTTTGCATCGACCTCCCCCTTCTGCGTGATCAATCACTTGGCTCGCTTTTATATACGTCTTTAGAGGGGGAATCCTCATCCATTCTCACAGCATGTCCTAGTCATGCTCATGGTCCATTCGACGACAATATTCACCGTCGACGCAATCGGCCCATAGATCTTCCAAGAGCTGCCTCATCTGCTTACGCAAGTATCCATGCTTGAGATCCATAGAACAGCACGGGTAATATCAGAGTCTTGTAGGGTGTGAATTTGGGCTGATGAGAGTTGACCATGCTTTTGGGTTGCTTACTGAGACCATAGTAGCACTGGTTGACCCAACCTACTCTCCTCCGGATTTCAAAGCTGCGCTACCGAGATATATACAATCGTTCACTACCTCAAAGTTTTCAAGTTCCACAGTTGGAAATTGCGCCAGCTTGGTCTTCTCGCAATTTACTGCCAGTCACACTCTTGCAGACTCCTTCTCAATTCGTTCAAAGGTGGCTGTTACCGCTCGCAATGTTGGACCCATTATGTGGATGACGTCGGCGCAGGCGAGTAGCATATGGTGTTTGGTGTACAGAGTGCCATTTCTGTTCACATTTGCATCTCGTATGACTTTTTTTCCTTGTCTGAATCCTCGTTCAGTATTGAAGAGCTCCGAGAGGTCCTTTTCGAATTTAACTGCTGATCTTGTGCCAGTTAAAGTTATCCTGCATAGCCGTATTAATTTTGCAGGAATTCCCAACGCAGACACTGCTTTATACAGCTCTGAACGGAGAGTGCTTTGGGGCTTTGTAGTCGACGAGTAGGTAAAATGTGTCGATATTTTTTTCGTGGGTCTGGGTAGGCAAATCTATGCCATTGTGCAAGTTGGTAAATTGAGCGGATTAGGCTTCTGGTATCTGTGTGTTAAATTGGATCGCACCTTTTCTGCTTCATTAAGGCGGGTGCGAACCTTGACTGCCATAAGGTAATATTCCGAACCGATATTCGCCCCTCCTTACCATGCTTTTTGCTGCCGCGAAGTCAATCAACTTCATGCCGTTGTCGAATGTTTATTCATAGAGACTGAATTTTCCGACGGTTGGGGCCAAACATATTTTCCCTTTCGATGTTTGCATTAAAATCTCCTAGCAGAATTTTAATGGCCTGCTTTTATATTTTCGTTTGCTCGTTTAAATTTCCCGGGAGTTACGTATTCAATAAATATAAATCAGCTGTTAACTCAAACAACATAGATCTTTAGAAACCTATTACAAGTTTATTTTCGATCTATAATGCCCTACCACCTTTAACGATTTTTTCCTGATTTGTTTTGATTCCCAAACTTTATCCGCGATTTTCTTCCCACTCCCACACTAGTTTACTAATTCAACGCCGTTAATTTATCTATAACGAAAGCTTTGTGATCCTATGTCGATTTACTTATCCCTAATTCCTATGGCAAAATGTCATGTCTAATACGTAAGACAATAAGCGAAAAGGTATAAATCGAAATTTAACGAAATTAATAAATAAATAATTATTATTTTTATATTAAATTATATTCCCCATTATCTCTTCCAATAGATAACCCAAGTTGTAAAAAACAACAATGTGTACTATGAGCTGGAGGCACCTTTGAAACGCAGCAACGGCAAGCCGGTATTGCAATGGACTGTTAAAGAAGGCAGCAACCAACAACAACACACAACGGATGAGGATAATTCAAAACTTGTAAAGGCTGTGGCATCTTTAAATTATGACAATGATTTGGTGCAAGAAATACGAACCATACCGGGTAATGGTAAATTGCCCAGCAGAGTGGAATTCCACATACATGAAGAACCCTATGTGAAATCGTTACTAAACCCATCATCTGAAATTGAAATCCCCAGGAAAAGAAACTCTCATATGGTTTTTGAATATAGTTCACCGAACATCGCCAAACCATTCCATGTCGGTCATCTGCGTTCCACCATCATTGGTAATGTCCTGGCGAATTTACACCAAAATTTAGGTTATCAAGTTACAAAAATGAACTACCTTGGCGATTGGGGTACACAATTTGGTTTGCTACAAGTCGGCGTGGAGTTACTACAAGCAACAGATGAGCAGATACAAAATGCGCCCATTGAAACACTATATAAAGCCTATGTTAGAGCCAACAAGGAGGCCATTGTGGATGCCACAATTGCCGATAAGGCCAGAGAATATTTTCACCAACTCGAATCCGGCAATCAATCGCCCGATGTAATACGACAATGGCAAAAATATCGAGAATATACAATCCAGGAATTACAAACTGTCTATCAACGATTGGGTGTCACATTTGACATATACGATTGGGAATCGATGTATTCTCAACAGCACATCACCGATGTTCTACAGGCATTGGATGCAAGAAATCTTCTATTACCCGAAAAAGATGGTCGCAAGGTAGTTGAAGTTGATAAGAGACGTGTACCGATAATAAAAAGTGATGGTTCCACATTGTATTTAACCCGAGATATTGCTGCGTTATTGGATAGGTGGCAAAGATTTAATTTCGAACAAATTTTCTATATTGTCGAAAATGGTCAAACGGATCATTTTAAGGCCCTCTTTCAAACAACATCAAGGTTGAAGGAAGATTTGGATATTTCTAAGTTGAAACATGTTAAGTTTGGTCGTATCCACGGCATGAGTACTCGCAAAGGTCAGGCGGTGTTTCTGAAAGATCTTCTTGATGAGGCCAGAGATCGCATGCTGGAAAAACAGGCTCAAAGTCCGAGTGAGTAAATGAAATACATACACGCCTTAAAAAATATTTTTGAAAAAATCTACGCCTTGAAAAAAATATTTTTAAAAAATCCACGACTTGAAAAAATATTTTTGAAAAAATCTACCCCTTAAAAAATATTTTGAAAAAATCTACGCTTTGAGAAAAATTATAAAATTTTTTTATTTCAAATTTATGCCTTGAAAAAATATATTTTAAAAAATCCACCTCTTCAAACTTTTTTTTGAAATCCTTGAAAAAAATATTTTTAAAAAATCAAAACCTTGAAAAAATATTTAAAAAAAAATCAAGCCTTGAAAAATTATTTTTAAAAAGTCAACGCCTTGAAAAAATATTTAAAAAATTCACGTCTTGATTTTTTTTTTTAAATCCAAGCCTTGAAATTTTATTTTTAAAGAAATCCAAGCCTCAAAAAAATATTTTTAATAAGTCAACGCCTTGAAAAAATATTTTTAAAAAATCCACGCCTTGAAAAATACGTTTTAAAAAAATTAACGCCTTGAAAAATACATTTTAAAAAAATTAACGCCTTGAAAAATATTTTTAAAAAATCCACGCCTTGAAAAAATATTTTTTAAAAATTCACGCCAATTTTGGGACGTAAAAAAATATTATTTCAAACCTTAAAGAATATTTTTTAAACATGCACGACTACAAATAGGCCAACAAATTCCACTGTTATAAAAAGGCTTAAAAATTCGGAAAAAAATAAATTTTTTAATTCACATTAAAAAATGTTTTAAACCCTTTTAATCAGTCTTTTTCTTTTTTGATTTTTTTTAGCCACCAAAGTCGATGTGGATTCCAATGAAGTTGCCGACATTTTGGGTGTATCAGCTGTCATCATCAACGATTTGAAACAGAGACGTCAACGTGACTATGAATTCAACTGGGATAAGGCATTACAAATGAATGGTGATACAGGAGTGAAATTACAATATACCCATTGTCGTTTATATAGCCTAATGGAACAAAATCAAAATATCAATTTAGATAATATTGAAATTACATACAATCACCTACAAGACCCCGAAGCCTTAGATCTTCTCAATGAAATTTCCAAATATCCACAAATATTGTGGCAGGCCAAGGAGCAATTGGAGGCGTGTATATTAGTTAATTATTTGTTTGGCTTATGGTATGATTTTTTATGGTTTTTTTAATAATTAATTTTTTCAACTAAACTATTTTATTTATTTTCTTCTAGTAACTCCACAAGTCGTGCCTTAAAGAAATTACCCATAAAATCCGAAACAGATGTACGAAAACAACAACACAGATTGTTGTTATTTAACACGGCCAAAGATATTTTAAAACAAGGCATGATGATTTTGGGTTTGAAACCCTTAAATCAAATGTAATATTTATTTGTTAATAACAACAAAAAATAGTGGAAACACACATTTAACAAAAGTTGTAATACAATTAACGTTTCTTCCATGTGTATTTGCGGCGGGCACCTTCTTGACCAAACTTCTTACGTTCACGTCTGCGATAATCACGTGTCAAAAGACCGGCTAAAAGCAGTTCGAAAGAAAGGAAAAAAAAATATACATTGCAATTAAAAACAATCAATTTTTGTTCTCAATAAAATACTTTACCTAAACGCATCGACTCAATCGTTTCCTGATCAACAAAGCTACGCAAGCACATAGCAATGCCCCAGCGTATGGCACCCGCTTGGCCCGAACTGCCACCACCTTCAACATTGGCTTCGATATCACATTTACCCAGCATATCGGTAAAGATCAAAGGAAACAGAACCTATAATGAAACGAGAAAAACGAAAGTCAATATTTTTAAATGGTAACGTATTGATATATTTTTTATAGTTGTTTACTCCCTCTCCCTTTATTTTTTTCAATAACAAAGTTCATTAAAAATGATTGAACTTTGTCAAATGCCAAAAATAGAAATTTGCTGTGACATCTCTGTTTTGCGAAGCTGTGAAAAATTGTGTGGGGGTTTGTTTTTCGTTAGACAACATTTCAAAATCTTGTTGTTAACTGAAATTTCAGTATGTTTATTTAAATTCACAATAGTTCAACATAATCAATACATCACCAATTTGTATTTTTGGTAAGAGTATCATCAATCAAAATCCCATAAAAACAAAACAAAATTGGGCAAAATCATCAGAAAACCGGTGGAGTAATATTTGTTTATCATAGCAATAAACGTAGAAAATTTGTATGTGTTAAAGTTTCGGAAGATTGATCTTTAATAAGTTGCTGCAAAGCAGACATACCAAATAAGCATGACGCAGAATATAAATTGGGTACAATTTTTTTTTTTCTATTTTTAAATAGAAAACGTTGTTTACTGGGAATCAACCTGTATTTTATATTGCACGGAATCTTGAAATTTCTGTTTTTATTATAAATAGTCAGACGTAATTCTAGTTTGTTAATTTTCTAAATCAATGATTTATGGAAAATGTGACAAGGAGCAGGAACGACTATAGATTCTTGTCATATTTTTTCCTAAAGTTTGGTTTTCGATTAGATCATATTTTGGTCTTCTATGAGAGGACATTTTGATATTTCATTAGGATCCTCAGAAGACCTTTTTGTCTTCAATGAGAAGACCTTTGGACATCAATAAGAAGAAACTCTATTGTTCTATGTGTAAATCTATTGGTCTTCAATGAGAAAAAATTTCGACATCAATAAGAAATAGAAAAGTATTATGACAAAAATCTGCACCTTGTGTAGATTCTGGAAAAAATGCTGTAAGTTCAAGCCTACACTAGCCCTTAAAAATATTTGAAAAAAATCTACGCTTTATGTAGACTTTAAAAAATATTTTTTTTAAATTCAAACATATAGTGACTCTAGAACAAATATTTTAAGAAATCTGCGCCTATTTCAGCGTCAATTTTTTTAAAGTATATTTTTTAAAAGTATTTAAAAAAATCTGCGCCTAGTGTAGACTTTGCAAAATATTTATTTTTTAAATTTCATTCTGGTCCTTGCGAAAATATTATATAAAACGCCTTGTGTAGGCTCTGGAAAAATATATTCTTTAAATTCAAGCCTATTGTGACTCCAAACTGGTATGGGCGATAAATAGTTTTCAACCCTACAATTCTTTAAATTCAAGCCTATTGTGGCTCCAAACTGGTATGGGCGATAAATAGTTTTCAACCCTACAAATCCCCAGGACCAGATGGTATAACAACGGTCATGCTGCAACACGCAGATGAATGAGTATTAGCCACTCTGCAAGACATATTAGAGCTTGCCTACTCTTATCGCACATACCTTCATCACGAAAGTCGGGAAGCCAAGTCATACGCTACCAAAGATCAATAGACCGATCAGCCTATCTTCCTTTCTACTCAAGACTTTTGAAAGGATACTGGACGCCGAAATTAGGAACACTATTGACCCAAAAAAAAAAAAAAAATAGCAACTCCCAGCATGCCTATATCAAAGCCAAAGCAGTGGATAAAGCCTTACATAAGGTGGTTGGACGTATCGAGAAGAATATGGAGTCCTCCTGCTACACTTCAACAGAGCACACCACACGGATGAGTATTATCTCCACTTTTATGTCTTCTGGTGACAAATGAAACACTGCTGAAATTCGACCATCTCAAAATATAGGTTGTAGCCTATGCCGATGTTGTAGTCTTGCTAGTCGGTGGGAAATTTGTGACGACTGTTTCAGACATTATGGAGGGCGCCCTTTCAACTCTGTCCAACTGGGCAAACGCCAATGGTCTTGGCGTAAATCCAATAAGACAGAATTCGTGCTCTTCTCTAGAAAACGTAAGATTCCAAAGTTACGTAGCGTATTTCAAGCAGAAATCCTTGCGATCACTAAAGCGGCCTAGATATTCAAAACACTTTTTGCCGATAGTACCGGACCAGTGACTAAATATGTCGAAAGTAAGTGGGATCTCAAGGCTGTAAAGTCGTGCCCTATAAACTCAGAAGCAGTTCGTGAATGTAATGCTGTTCTATTTGATATACGACGGATAGTTAATTCATGTTGGGTTCCAGGACAAAACAACATAGATGGGAATGAGTTTGCCGACGAGCTTGCCCGTGGGGGTTCACAGTCGTCCAACCTTCCGATTGAGAGATCTGTGCAACCGCCAGTGGCTGTTTCATTGGCAAAATACGCTTGATCTACGGCGAGGTAGTCGGCAACAAATGGTCAAGAGAACTTGGTTGCAGAATCTCGAAAACTGAATTCTCTCGCCGAAGAACTTCTTCGCTCTTGTCACATAATAAGAGAGAAATCAAAATCATTGTGGGCCTCATAACAGGTCACTGCCAGATCAGATCCCTCACTTCGAAATGGGACACCAACGGTGAGGATTACTGTCGTCTATGTGAGGACGAAGAGGAGATAGGAACAAATGAACATATTCTCTGTAGATGTCCATCGGTGAGTGGCGGGAGTCACAGACAGTTTGGAAGATATGAAATTGATAACCTAGATTTTTTCTCCAAAATGGACCCCAATCATATCCTAGGGTTTGTCAAAATATTTGACATGATTAAATAACCATCTACTGACTCCCCAACTCCAACTATTTTTCCTATCTTTCTTAAAAAAAAAATAGGTGAATCGAATGTGTTCTATAGGAAAGCAGATTGTCTTCTTATAGATGATTAATATTTAGTTGTATTCTAATAGATGATAGACTGAACCAAATAGTTTTCCATAGAAGTCCAAAAGACCTTCTGATAGATGCCAAAAATGTTTAAGCCATAATGCCCAGAAGCCTCATTAAAGATCACATCATCTTCTTCTAGAAGACCAAAAGATTTCCTCATTTCCTGCTAGATAAAATATTCCCCTCTTCCTATTTGCCGAGTTTTCAAGCTTTGTTCATTCCTAGCATCTGCAACTAACATCAGTGTGAATACAGTTCAGACCTTAAAAATAAATGTGTTGATATAAAAGTACCCTCTTATAACTTGGGACCTATATAGATCATCAAGATTCTTCCTGACAAGGCTTAGATGGAATTTTATCCAATAAATGAAGGTACTTACGGAAGGCAGAGCCGAATTTAAATAAAGTGTCTTTTTGACAAAGATAAATAGTTCCATGCTATCTCTAAAAACTGAATTTTTAAAAATATCAGCTTTTTTTGTTTCGAAAAATACACAGTTACCATTCGAAATTTACATTTTTACTAAACAGATGTTTACTTCGCGACTATTCCGATTTAAAACAATAGCAAATTTGTTGTTATCGTTTGGGTTTCCCCTCCCAATTTAAATTACATAAAAAATACGATGGGATAATTAATTTCCTATTGAAAAAAATTTCCAAAAATTTAAATACAAAAGCCGTTTACAATATCAACAAGTCTCTCACACAGCGATATAGACGTAACAACAGCATTCTTCTCACTTTATTGCATTGCTTAAAATAATTTGACGTGATTAGGCATTTTTGCTAACAAGTTGATTTTTTTTTAATTATAGATTTCGGAACTATGGGGAAATTGTTTTCATGCATAGATGATAATTTGGAAAAGTGTCAGAAAATATTTTGTGAATCTGGTGTTAACGGCTTACTTAGCTGAGTGGAAAATGTCTAGCGAGAAAAGCCAATAATCTGTGGTAGTCAAATTTTAAAAAGGGGATTAAATGTTTAGATTTTTTGAACGATATTAGTAGTAGTTTTTCAGGAGATTATAGTTCTTACGGAAGCCTTTAACATCTAATCTGTTTTCCTCATTCAGTGTGAAATATATTGTCCATGCTATTTATTACTTTTGATCTTATCAAGATCCTGTAATCTTTCTTGGAAATTATAACCATAAATCCCTATTCATTATGAATTATGCGAGCAATTATATGATACACAAGTCCGGCAGAAGATCCGAGTAGGTTTTTCATTTTTTTAATATATTTTGAGAATAGAAAAAACACGACGTCATTAAATACCCTCTACATGAAGAACAAAAATCGAAAGAAAATGTTTATCTTTGCCGAATCGTAATAAATTTAACTACGTCTAGAATTTATCTAAACGAGGGTCGTTAGTGAAGTGCAGGTATTTAGGAATTCAATATACAATAACCTAATTTTTATAGGAGTCTTAATAGTCATTTCATAGATGAGCGGAATGCCAATATGAATTTTTACAAATGACAAATATACGTTCTCATAGAATACCAGAAGATATCCATATAGAAGACCAGAAGTTATTCTCATATGATGACCAGAATATATCCTCATAGAAGACCAGGAGTTATTCTTGTAGAACACGATAATATCCTTTTAGAAGACCAGAAGTTATTCTCATAGAGGCCCAGAAGATATTCTCATATCCAAACAGAAGTTTTTATCGTCAAATGTCTTCTCACAGAAGACGAAGAAGGGTTCACTTTAAAGACCACAAAATCTTCTCCTAGAGGACACGATACTTTCTACGAGATCAAAATATTTGCTTATTAAAGCCCAAAAGAACTTCCCCCAGAAGGCCAAAAGTCTTCTTTTAGAAGATCATAAAATACCTGTTTGACTTTATGGGGTTTCTTCTTATGAAATACCAAAACCAAGACCAATCATTCTTCACATAGGCCTACTCATAGAATACCTAAAAAGTTTTCTCAAACATAAAGAAGTAGGTCTTTTTGAAGTCCAAGGAGGCCAAAAATCTCTTAGAAGGCAAAAAAGGTATTTTCATAGAAGATCCTTCTCACGAAAGTTCTCATGTTTTTAGTCCCCTTTATAAGAAGATGGAGATCAAATGCTATTTTCAAAAGTCCATCTCATGATGGCCTGACCCTT